GTATTTAAATATGGTAGTTGTATGAATTCAACCATTCTTACATGACGGATTGAATCTCAGCGTTGTACGAAACCATTGATTCAAAGGGAATGACCCAGGGTTTGGGAATGAACCGTTTGGGGATTTAAAGGCAACCACCAGTTGGATGGCTTTTTGGGGCCATTCCATATCTCATTCCCCTCTCGCACCGATCCCAAGTCTCATGGCGCCCGGAAGGCCAAGTCGAGCGAAGCCTTCGCTCCCGGCCGAGCCGCTGTGCCGGGCTCCGCGAGGTGCACCGTGCCGTTCTCCTCGCCGAAGGAGGTGCCCGTCACCGCCTTGGACCGAATCGTCGGCGAGCTGCGAGCGAGGTGCGAAGAAGTTAAGTGGAAAATGGGAGCCGATGATGGAGGAGGTGGGATAAATGATGGTTTATATCGTGTTCTCTTGGTGATGGAGGGGATAAATGTCCGTTTATCTCATGTCTTATGTGTTCTGTTTCTTTTGCAGGGTGGGGGTTGGGTTTCAAGCCAAGGTGGGTTCGAGCGTTAGCTGCTCAGTTCTTAGGTGCTCTTGAGATGCTTGTGAATTGGGGGGGGGGGTTGGGTTCTCATGGAAATAGTCCCCGCTCAAGGACTCATGGACCGTTGGAGGATATGGTTCGCAAGAGGATTGTATTCCGAAGCCCTGTTTCGGGAAAAAGGGTAAGGGCTGAAAGCACATCTTACGCGTAACTTCCATAGATCCTTCCTTTCAGAACAACCTGCGAAAACATCATGGCTTGTTCTCGAAAGAATGGGTGAACCGGGTCAGACTCAGAGTGAAAAAGTGAACTCGTTGTTGAGGGACAAGTCCCCAAAATTAAGGAGCCCCAACAAAAATCATCAAACATCCAGGCTGGTGCGGTGTCCTTTCGTTTGCCTCTAAACGGTCTGGCGGTGAGAGTTTCGGGACCGTTGCCGAACCGTTCGGGGTCCAACTCCAGCTGAAACATCACTCCTGTTGGGCATTTCTTGTGGTTTCACCACCCGAAATATGTGATCCCAATATGGGTGATTCCCATGACTACTTTGGCGCAAAGCACTGTGCACACTGCTTTCTTGATGTGAAGGCTGGAAAGTGGGAACCCTCAAAATCGATATTTGTGGCTTCTTGGGTTTCTCATGTCCCCCACCCAACAAAGCCTGCCAGGCTGCCGCAAAGCACATCCCCTGGTAACCTGGTTGCTATTTGGATCTCGTTTTGCTAGGTGGACCATGGACGACTGGTTGGTGGACATGAACCAGAGCGAAAAGTACGCCAATAGTCGAAAATTCGGACCTACATGGGAAAGAACCACACCATGATAATCCAATGACTTAATTTGGTCTGCAAGCCAATTCGGATTATTCAGGCCCTTACAGCAATGACTCCGGATTCATCAACCTGGTGGATATCTAGCTTCCCGGAGGGTAATTACATTTTCCCCAAACAGCGAAGCATTGGGGTTCTAACTTGAGGTATAGAGAATGGGAAAGTGTGACGCTGGTTCCGGGGTCCTGTTTTTCCGCTTGTCTTCCTGTCTCCCAGTCTCTCCGGTCAGATGCCAAATGCTGTGACGCTGGCTCCAGGGTCGTGTCTCCAGCTTGTCTCCCTGTGTCTGGATGCCAGATGCTGTGACGCAGGCTCTGGGGTAGTGTCTCCCGCTTGTCTCCCTGTGTCTCCATGCCAGATGCTGTGACGCCGGCTCCGGGGTCGTGTCTCGCGCTCGTCTCCCTGTCTGTGTCTGGATGCCAGATGCTGTGACGCAGGCTCCGGGGTAGTGTCTCCCGCTTGTCGTTCTGTGTCTCCCATCTCCCGTTTTTTGTGACCAAGGTCTTGTCTCCCGCTTGTTTTCGTTCCAGATGCTGTGACGCTGGCTCCGCTGCGGTCGCGTGCCAGATGCTGTGACGCCGGCTCCGGGGTGTACCCCTGTGTCTCCCAGTCTCTGCGGTCAGATGCCAGATGCGGCTCCGGGGTCGTGTCTCTTGCTTCTCGTCTCCGCATTCGTACGCCAGATGCTGTGACGCTGGCTCTGGTCGTGTCTCCCGCTTGTCTCCCTGTGTCTGGATGCCAGATGCTGTGACGCATGCTCGGACCCAGTGTCTCCCGCTTGTCGTTCTGTGTCTCCCATCTCCCGTTTTTTGTGACTAAGGTCTTGTCTCCCGCTTGTCTCCGGTCCAGATGCTGTGACGCTGGCCCCGCTGCGGTCGCATGCCAGATGCTGTGACGCCGGCTCCGGGGTCGTGTGTCCCGCTTGTATGCCTGTGTCTCCCAGTCTCTGCATGCCAGATTGCTGCGCCGGGGTCGTGTCTCCCGCTTGTCCCCGTGTCTCCCAGTCTCTGCGGTCAGATGCCAGATGCTGTGATGCCGGCTCCGGGGTCGTGTCTCCCCGCTTGTCCCCGTGTCTCCCAGTCTGTGCGGTTGTGTCTCCCGCCTGTCTCCCTCGCTTGTCTCCCTGTGTCTCCCAGTCTCTGCAGTAAAGGATGGTCCCGGGCAAAACCAACTGAAGCTGCTTCTTCTTTGCGAGTTTTGGGGCTGACCTTGCTTGCTGCCAGCTGGCTGTTTGACGCACAGCCTTCAACAGGGTCCCGGGCAAACCCAGCTCAAGAAGCTAGAAACATAGATTTGACAAGTCAGCAGGAACCACTTGCAACAATGTTTCGAAACGGGGAAAGGGCATGTCGCAGATTTTGCTGTTAGCCTGTGTGCTAAGGATGTGCCTCTCTCTTGGTCAAGCGCAGGTTTGCATCCTTGTGCAGCATCGTTGGAGCTAGAAGCAAGCAATGTCGAGCCTTAAATATGTCTATTTTCTTGAAATCGACAGCCGGCTGATTGCTTTGCTCAGGAAATTGAGCTGCTTTTTAGAAGCTAGTGCCGCACTTCTTGGTCAAGTGCAGGTTTGCATCCTTGTGGCGCATCAGCAGTGCCCCGTCGAGCCTTAAATATGTCTATGTTTCTCGATAAAAAACAAATATATAGTTAGTGACATCCGGCTGATTGCTTTTTGGAAGCCAGTGCCGCACTTTTTGGTCAAGCACAGGTTTGCATCCATGTGGCGCATCAGCAGTGCCCCGTCGAGCCTTAAATATGTAGAGTGGTTTCGATAGACAATACGGCTGATACTGAGCTGCTTTTTGGAAGCCAGTGCCGCACTTCTTGGTCAAGTGCAAGTTTGCATCCTTGTGGCGCATCAGCTGAGCTCTGTCGAGCCTTAAATGTGCGAAAAACAAATATTCTGTCACATCCGGATGATTGCTTTGCTCAGGATTCTGAGCTGCACTTCTTGGGCAAGTGCAGGTTTGCATCCTTGTGGGGCATCAGCTGTGGCACAGCAGCAGAGCCCAGCCAAGTGGCCAACTGACTGGTTTGCATCCTGTGGCGTATCAGCAGAGCCCAGCCAAGTGGCCGTGACTGACTGGTTTGCATCCTTGTGGCGCACCAGCAGAGCCCAGCCAAGTGGTTTGCATCCTTGCGGCACACCAGCACAGCCCAGCCAAGTGGCCTTAATTGACTGATTTGCAGCCGAGCCAAGTGGCCGTACCTGACTGGTTTGCATCCTTGCGGCACATCGTAACAGACTGGTTTGCATCCTTGTGGCACAGTAGCAGGGCCCAGCCAAGTGGCCTTAAGTGAGTGGTTTGCATCCTTGTGGCGCTTGAGCAGAGCCCAGCCAAGTGGCCGTAACTGATTGGCTTGCATCCTTGTGGCGCATCAGAACCCGGCCAAGCTGGTGGTGTCCACTGCGCAGCCGCATTGGTATTTCCGAGATGGAGCAGGGCTGGAGCTGACGTTCACAGCCAAGCTTGTTTTAGAATGGAGCGGCGTTGGGGCGCATGGAGCAAAGCCATGCGTTGGTCATCTTGGGAGCATGCGGCGCGCTGGACACGACAGAGATGAAGGCCCTGGATGACCAAGCCACTGCCGGCTCAAACGCTGAGGATTTTCTGGAGCTGTCCCGGGTGACAGAGGTGCGCGCCAAACGGGCACCTTTGCTGACGCTTGCCAATTTGGCGCGGCGTGTGTTTGCGTTGCTGGGCGAGGATGTCCCGGCCGTAACGCTACAAGGCGCAGTCTGCAAGTTTATGCAAGCGCTCTCTTGCTTGTGGCAAGACCTTTAGCCGAGCTCGAGAAGAAGATAGCAACCAGAAGTGGCATCTCGGCCGCAAGCTGCTGAGACTGATGCGCAAGTTTCAGCAAGTAGCGAGACGGCCACCAAATGCTGCGGTGATGGAAAAGTGCATTGAGTGTCCGTACTACGAAAGTTCCTTCGAAACTTCCTTTGATTAATGCCAGGTGTTAGGTTGATTCACCCCGAATCCTCGGGGCCTTCACTCTCGAACATGGCACTGACATGGCGTTTTCCCCCTTACCCGGCGTCAAGGAGATGGATGGACCCGATGTGTCCTCTTCCCAAAAAGGGGACATACATGGACTGATTGTAACTGTGTGTTGCTCACATAAGCTACTCAATTTCGCACCTTACATGAAGGAGACAAGCGTTTCTTGGGTTATACAGACCTGTCATGCTTTGTTTGCTGTTTGGGGTCGAGGCTGGTGTAATTTCATGTTTGGTTGAAAACAATGTGTGTTCCATCGAGATGGCACTTGTTAGTGAAACGACACTTTTGCAAGTTGAGAATTGCAGCCGGTCGCTGCCACATCGAAACGGCAACTGTACCGTCCAAACGGCAACTTTGCCCGATCATTGGACGGCAATTGTAAAACGGTGTTTCTTGGGGCAAGCGGAAAAAATGTCTTTACGCAGAACGGCACAAACATGTACCCGCGGAGGTATGTGGGTGGTTTTTCCAACAGTGATTTACGGATTCCCTCTGAAGGACAACCCGTGCTCAAAATCAGGTATTGAATATCCTGGAATCTCATTAGCCCAGCTCTGGGGTTATGTTGTTCCATGCTTAGTCGATCCTAAATACAAAATATGTTCTGGAGGCGCCAGTTACACTTAAAGATACTTTCCACCGAAACCAGCCCCTGGGTTTCATGAGAAATGTCAACGTATTCAGAGGGTTTTCGCCCTGTGTACCCCTGCGCGCATGTCCTTCCCCGACCTCGGCCAAATCCTTTGCTCAGCGGCGATCTCAGTCCCCGCTGGGCCGTGATCGGGAAGCATGCCGGTGGCCTGCCGAATTCCGAGCCACGAGGGGTTGTGGACCTCACGCGTACCCGTTCTCAAGAGAATCGCCCGAACTGACCCATGATAGACAATGCCCGGTAAGGGCAAGGACTCCGACCCATAGATTGTGTTCTCTTACTGGCCCGAGAATCCCAGGGATACGTGTCTTGTTTGGTTTGTTCCGAGCGGGGGGGGGTTCTCCAATTGCTTTCCCCCCAAAATTGGAAACTTATTTTTGGTAAGGGAAAGCTCTTCCGAACCAGGCTGGAGGTCTGCGGACTGACATCATTGTTGGCATTTGGTACCCTCAGGGAAGCTGACAGGTCCCCGGGAGTCTGAGAGACTTGTTGGTGGACGGGAGAGTATCGTTTTGTTGGCTTCAATAATTTGTTCATGTGTGTGTGTGTGTGTGTGTGTGTGTATGTGAATCATGTCATCTGTGGCTAGTATTGATCCTAAGGGTTGTCTGCCATGGTAAGAAAAGGGACATACAACAACAGCACAAAAGCGGAACCAACGACGGCCCAGAAACCCCCAGACCCGCCAAATGCCCAAATGCTATGGGAAATTGTTTCTTGGTTGATCCGGAGAAAGTACATACTTCCTAACATCGTATCCCCTCAGAGGTTCAAAGGAGCTCTTTGGCGGTCTGTTTTTGGCGAGGGGTCGGCGTCCCAGATTTGGGAGTGAATATTGTGCTGGGATCGCGGACCCTTTGGACATCAGAATTCGGTGGTTGGATTTGTCCACCTGCCGTTTTTGAAGAGATCCAAGTCTTAAGACTCATACCCAGGTGAGCGTTGTGGAATGAATATCACCCTAAATCTGTGATTTCAAAGCGGACCGTCTTGGTGTTTGTGTCACTTCAAAGATGTTGTCTTGGCATCACAGAAAGTGGCCAGGGGTAAGAGGGGCGCCCATGCGCAACTGAAAGTTCATCCAACCCCAAGTCGTCTTACCCTCGACCAACCTAAAACGCAGATCAAGGCTTTTTAGAGGCGGCACAAAACCCATATCCCTATCTGATCTGATCCCGCCGTTTTGAATAGACTTTCTTACCATTTGTCCAAAGTAATTGAGTACCACCTCTGGCACATCACGCCCTAAAAGTGGGATTGGGGGCACAGTGTTGCTCCGAATCCCTCTGCACTGATTGATCTTGGAAAAACCTGGCTTTTAACATACTAAACCACCAGCAGACATGTTCGGGATCGCATTCCTGAGTAAGACTCCCCAGCCCTGGATGCACCTCGGGGCCATAGGCCTCCACCAAGAAGATCACATCCTTGGAGATGGGCCGAAAACCAATCAACAAATGCAATTTCTGAATACACGGCAACTAAAACTTCGAAATAAGTTCGACAAGATTGAGGCCCACCCTAAGGGTCCGGAAGTGATTTTTGGGCCCTTTGTACATCTTAGTCCGATTTTCCCAGTTGCTAAGGGTCCGACCCTCAACATGGGCCGCTTTCTGGAAGGTGGGGTGTGCATTGGAAGGGGTCCATTGAAAAGTCCCCTTAGGGCAGAAGATGACCTGGGACCCGTTTTTCTTTTTGGCTTCCCACCCGAAAAAGGGTTCCCCTCAAAAACTGCTCAGGTGTTCTTAAACCTTTTTTGGTCTTAGAGGGAACGACTTCGAAACCGGGGCCCATTTTGGTCCGAAGAGTACCTAGATGTCGAACCAGGCCATGACCAGTAGGAAAACGTTGACTTATGATGGTTGTAGCCTACCTGGCAGCCTGTTCTTGGGTCAACGTTGCTTTTGGGAGCTTGTGGGGCGTTTCGCAACCCACCCCCAAGAAATTCAGGGCTCAATTGTCAGCAGCCTTTGGCTTTTTCTAGTTGTGTTGTCAAAGGCTCCCGATTTGAACTGTTTAGGTAGCTGTATCTTGGATCTTACGGGCCACGCCACTGCACCAGCTGTTGGCACAGCTGCTGCTGGAATCAAAGCAGGTTGGTTGGTTGGCTGGTTGGCTGGTTGGCTGGCTGGCTGGCTGGCTGGCTGGCTGGTTGGTTGGTTGGTTGGTTGGTTGGTTGGTTGGTCTTTTGGTTGGTTGGTTTGCACCAAACAACCCCCAGAAGAATATTCAGGTCAAGCGCCCCAGGTCAAGCGCCCCAGGTCAACCGCCGCCATAAGGCAGGAATGCTGAGAGAGGACATTTTGTGTGCAGAACCTCAAAGGCTCAACTTCTTAGCAGCCCTTTCATCTGCAAGATAGCTCGGCTGGCGCTACTGGATTGGTGCCCTCGCGTCAATGCATATGTGTGCAAAAGAGCAGCATGCAAACAGTGCGCAAGACTCCTGGCTCCGGCGTCATTTTTGTACAAGCTCTGAAGGGACCTTCAGAAATTGAGCCCAGTCTCCACCAACCGATTTCTTATACCGCGCTCAAGCTGCAGGGGGTTCGTCTTGGGAACTTCGGGAGATGCCTCTGAAAAGGCTCCTAAAAACTCACTTCCTGAGTCAGTTGGCCAAAAACAGTCCGTTGTTTCTGTTTGCCACTTAAACGGTCACAAAGCCTAAAGTTCAGAAACTCATGAAGTGAGAAAATGGGGAGGGGGAGACAACGCCTTTCGGGGTATTTGGAGTTTAGGTAAGAGAACCAGGACCAGCAATGCACACGCCAGGTGCCCACACCTCTTCGGGCAAGATGTTACCTTCTGGCAAAAAGGAGACATTCACCTTGGAAACTAGATTCTTCAAACAATGGCCAAGAACAAGTTGGAGTAGGGGGGAATCTCCCCACTAACGTGGCGCACCAAAGAGTCCCTTGAGCAAAAAGGTCTTCCAGGAGCCAATCAGGTTCCATCTAAGTTGGGAGGGCAAGTGAAGCTTTCACAAACAGGGCGCCACTTGCCCCGGAAAACGGGGTACATAACCATATGACCAACATACCCAGAGGGTCTAAGTACCTTCTAAGAAATTACTTAGACCCTTTTGCCCCCCAAAAGCCATCCTCACGAGGTATCAAGGGGCCCTCTGGGATATGAATGCAGGATATATTCCACTTGCCCCGATCAGAAAGCTTCGAAAGGCTGGATGTCCGCACCCATGGCAAGGGCCCCCTACTCCAAATACCCATCTTTTCGGGACCCCTTGCCCTGCCCAAAAAATCAAGTGGGGCGCCCAAAAAAACAATGTGACCCAAAAACAAAGCAGAAAAGGGTACCTTCAAGAAAAACAAACCCAAGTGAAGAAGTGGAGGCTTCGAGGCCTTTTTTCCAGCTCAAGTCCGCCCGAGCGGCATTCGGATCCAGAGACGTGGTGGTGGTTGTAGTGGTGCTGCTGGTGCCTCGACAAATGGCACGTTCTGAAACGTCAGTTTTGCTTCGAATGGCGGGCAGAGTCGCCTCAGAATTCCTCTAGAGCTCCACAATGGGGGATACATATGTACATGTATATATGTACAGTAGTTCCTAGGGTTCCACCACCAACAAAAGAAGGGCAACCAAAAAGACCCAATTTAGATCACATTCCTTATGAGTGAGCACATGGTGGTTATATTAACCCAAGCATTGTTCTAGTGGTTTGAATCCCAGGGTAAAGATACATTTCCGGGCTTCTAGAGGTTGATCCCCCAACCTCTCCCAATACCCACCTTGTTTTGGGGTATGTGAAATGATGTCAGCTGACTACAAAAGGTGTCAACACTATCAAAAAGCAGGTTTTCTAGATAATCCGCAAAATAAAGCAGGTATTTGGTGACAGTAGATGCCACGACTCCTCTTTTTTGTTTGTGGGTTACAGGGGTGAGTAAAGCGAAAGCAGGGAAGTGCGATCCGATGGGTTCGCGTTGGGTGACAGGATAGCGTGATTTTTGTTTGTGGGGAGTAAAGGGAGTGGCGAGTGACCAAAATGAGGGAAGATAACTTGACATCTCTTTTCACCCGAATGTAGCTTGCTCTTTCGGTGCCAAACAAAGCAGACCCAGACCCCAACTGCTTTTCGGATAGGGGTTCAGATAGTTCAGAGGTTGAAAAAGCAAAAGCTGGATGATGCAAAGATTCACCCAAGCGAAGCCCTGAAATTTCACCATGCAATGGCCTGCCGCCTTCGGCACCACTTCTGTGCAGGCCAGGTTGCTTGGAAGGGAGTCCCTTTTCGGGGGTCTCCTCTGGCATGCACCTAGCTGCACCTAGCTGTTACCATAGGGACAACAAATCCCGGTGTTTCTTACCGAAGCAAAAAATCAACTCTATTGGCAACCCAGTCCGCCCAAAATGGGATATACCCTGCAAGGGCCTCCAGCATTCTAAGGTTGTCACCAGGACAACCAATTTTTGAGAACCCTTGAGAACTTTGGAAAAAGCGGCTCGAGCTCGTCCGATTCTTCTCGCGAAGGCGCTGGTGGCAGAGGTGGTGGAGCTGGAGCTGGAGGTGATAGAGGTGGCAGTGATGGTGGAACTGGTGGCCTGGCCAGGCGCCAGATCGGCGTAGCGCTATAATAAGGCAACCCCAGGCACGTGTTTCAGGAGGTTATGAAGAAGCAGCTAGCAAGGAAGCAGGGCTAGGGAACGCTCCGTGGCGCTATTCTATCAAGAGACTAGCTCCTTATTCTATGAAAAAACTAGCTAGACAGGACGCCTGCCACAGGAAAATGGATCTGGGATTGGTTTCCTGGTTTGCCCTTATCCAAATAGAGTCGGCATGTCGAAGACACCCATGCGATGAATTTGAAGAGTTAACACCTAGGAAATGGTCCGTGAAGTCCGGCAATGGAAAGGACACGACCAGCCCTTGGAAGCCTCCTTAAAGATCAGCTGAGCGAAAGCTTATTCACATTTGGTACCAACATGGCTATAAAAGCTATATATATATATATGTATTTGTCGTACTACCCCAATTGAACCAGGCAGCAATTAAACCGACCCTTTCGCTTGGCGCTCAACTGGAGTTCCGGGATGACAAGTCGATTCAGCCGAAGGGCTGTAGAGCTGGTTCGCGTCTGGGTGGTTGAAGTTGTCCGTGTGGTGCTCCTCAGACTCATCCCCAGACCCTTCTGAGGGGTCGACCCTTCAACGCGACACCCAAATTGCAGCTGTTTGAAGGCCAGGCAGTCGTGAGCCTTTGGGTAAGTGAGGTATTCACGGAGGAACTCGCTGCTGAAATGCTCTGAAACCATTCGGGTATTTGGAGATATCTGCCCAGAAAGTTTTAAGAACCCGGCGATCAGGCCAGTCAACCATTTGGAGACAACCCAAGATGATAAATGCACGACAATATTCCCAAGGAAACCATTGGGAAGCATTCGGTCAAAGCCGAAACCCTCAATCTGACAAAGCCAAAGGGGGCTACCAAAACTGATACTCCCGCAAGAAAGCGGGCATTTCCGAGCATACAAACATCTCAAACCGGAAACGAGGAGTCCCCACGTAACCTACATATGCGAGCTTGATTTACCCCCATAAAACATTATTTGTGGACCTCTGGTAGCTACAGGGACCTTCACCCCACGAACAAAGCAGTCCCCATGGTTTACCCAAAGGTGAGCTCTGGGGACCCCTCGTATTCTGGGCTGTCCTCAGATCCCCCGTTCAAAGTGACTAACTTTTAGTGGGTGGGAACTATCAAGTACGGTGTCTCCATGGTTTAAAGGGTGAGCCCTGGGGATTTTTGGAGAATGCTGGAGGCTCCCCAGTAAAACCCAAAGCCGAGGCTCACAGCGGTGGTGCTGGTGCCGCTGCTGGTGGAGGTCCCGCTGGTGGCCGTGGCAGTGCTACTGGTCCTGCAGGATTGAACCTTCATGGGTCGGTCGTTCTTGTTATTGCTTTTGGTTCTTCAAAAACACCTGTTTGTTGGTGTTTTGGGGAAAAACATACTTTTCACCCCGCTTTTTGTTTTTTGCTCTTTTTTTTCGCTTAAGGGAAACAAAAAGGGAAAACCACAAATGTTGGGGGGGGGGGCTGGAAAAACGCACACACACACACACACAGCACCCATGTGGTATCCTTGCTGCCTTCTTCAGCTTAAACCTGCATCCCCAAATGCGACATCCATTTTTTCAGGTCCAAAACCTTCCAGAAATCCCTTTCCGCCTACAATGGCAGGTTCACTGATGTCTGTTTGGAATCCTCCAAAAGGAAGCTTTTGCAATATGCCAAAACAAATTCCGAGGGTGTGATGCCAATCCGGACAAAACAAACTGGTATGTGCAGTATGTGCGGGTATCTTGGGAGTAGGGGGCAAGACGAAGATCTTGACGTACCAACCACCCACCTTCCCACCCAACCCACGCAACAAGTTCTTAAAGCCTTGTTCCCAGACCCTCATGACCCCTCCAATACCGTCCAAAGCAGACCCTGCACCGTCTCCCTGCACCGTCTGAAGCACCCTTATATACCCCTCATGTGCCCTCAAAGAAACTCTTGAGGCACCATGAAGCCCCTTCATGAATGGGTAAAGGGGATTCTTCGCAGGCTTCGCTTCGAACCCTTCTGAAGGGTGGATCCCGAACCTATTCGGTCTCTGAGCTAAAGAACAGATTGGTTTCCTTGCGGTTTTCCAAACAAACAAACCAAAGAGAGTCCGAAACGTTTGAGAAACTTCAAAATCTAACTAAAGCAAGCATTGCGAGGCATGGTTCCGGAACATCGCGCAAAGTCTGCGACACTTCAGGTCATCCTCACGACAACTTGATCACTTTGAAGAACAATTCCCTTGGCCACTTTACAGACGCATGGCTAAAAATAAATAAACGAGAAACCGCCTCAAAAGTGGTTGAGTGGACTTGAATCCCCACCCAAATCATGTCGACCAAAGGGCCCCTATATACATTCACATAAATATGTTCCAAACATGACTGGCCCCTTTTCCACCCTACCGTCCACGGTGCCACCGTTTCAAGGCGATCCCACAAAGGCCGCCCTTTGGACAACCCCTCACACAAAGTGGGCGGGAGGTACGCTGGGGTAATTCAACCCCAAAACGTGTTTTCTGATATTTAATTAGTCTAGCCAAACACATAGAATATATGGTGCTTGGAGCGGCTGGGTTTCCCTGCAGAGCCGACAAAAACAAGTTAAACGCGCCCGAAGGACCCGGAGATAAAAGGTAAGCCGTTTGGCACCTTGACCAAACACGGGCCAAACTTGAAAAACCAAAAGGTCCAAAGGCCGTTTTCTTGGGGTCAACCTAGGGATGCCCTCAAAGGAAACCATAGGTTGGTTTTTCTTGGGGCCATTCCAATCCTCATCCTCCATTTGCTTAAGACCCCTGGGAAAAACAAACATGTTTCCAGTAGTGATAGTTCCCTTTAAACCCAACAGGGGAAAAATAAATATATATATATATATATATTCATTTCAGCAAATGGAAGTCATTCCCTGCATCTCTCGCAGTGATCGCCAGTTGACTTCTCACTCCACGGACTCAACCCCCGGTCTCTGAGCTGGACGTCGCCGTGGAGGAGGTGACGGAGGTGGCACTGCTGGAGCTCGTAGAGCTCTGTGTCGATGTGGTCCCAGTCACCTACCGAGACGCCAGTAGAGAGCTTGGAATAAGTTGGTACCCATTTTTTTTCTGTAGATTATTTTAGTAGGGGAACCCTCCCCCAAAAAAGAAACGGTAAACGGGCACTACTGGGGACCTAGTCCTGGCATGAGGGCGGGCCAGAGCGTCTGTAGAAAGCTGCCGGGGAGGGCTCGGAACCTCTGAAAGTGGCGATCGTTTCGATGGAAGCCACCAGTAAAAATTGATCAACTCAAGGGAAAGTCCAGTGAGCCCTGTCTGAGCCAGGAACTTGGACCTGGGATCGTGTTCTGTGATAAAGTGGGTGGCAGCTGAAGGTTCCTTGGTGTCACAGAAAGTGGGCCTAAAACCACAATCATACCCCTACTCCCAATACCCACACGTGAAGGGCATGAAGGCAGCTGACTAAAACAGGAGGTATATACCATGGCAAACCTGGTTCAACATATACCAACTGCACAAGGCAGGTACTTGGAGTAAGGGGCCTCTTAGTCTCGATTCAATACCGTTTTCAGTGGTACGTATATTTTGAAGAACCAGGTTTCCCATGGTAAATACCTCCTGTTTTAGTCATAGGCTGACATCGCTTGACATCATACCCTAAAACGTACCCACTGCTTTTTGTGTATGATGTCAACCCTTGACTACATGGACCAATGATGCTGGGAACCCCGCAAAAGGTCGATCACCTCTAGTCAGTAAGTTTAATGGATATGTCATTTGTTTCCAAAGGTCCCCCCGGCCCAATTCGGCCAAGTAGTTGACTATTCTTTTTTAGTAGAGAAGTTAGAACAAGGGTACCCTTTTTTCCGTAGTCTATTTTAGTAAGGGAACCCTCCCCCAAAAAAGGGTAAAATGGCACTACTGGCGGACCTAGTTAGACCCCAACATCGTCATACTGGTGGTGTATCCCTTCGCTCCAAATCGGATGCCTGGCGCAGATTTTGTCCATATGAGTGTGTCTGAACATGACCCGCAAAAACGTGTACTTCCTTACGCACAGTACTTTCTTTTTCAGTTGGTATGTCAAACGATGCAGGCCCCACACTTCAAAAGGAGGTATCAAAACCATGAAAAGAACAAAAAACAATGTCTCCAAGCGTACTGAAAAGAAGCGGTTTATTCGGGCACCTTCCAAAACAAACGTTGTGTGAGCCAGTCAAAATGATGCAGGTTTGCGCAAGGGGCATGGGATCTTGTTGGGCTATCCCCTGGCTTTGTGGGGAAGTTTAGTGAGTGGAAATGGACGATAGGATTATAATGTCAGACGAACCCCGCAAACGGTTTCTTTAAGCCTTATAGCAGCCCCTTGTGAAAGCTGGTAGCGGAACCTATCACCAATACTTGGTCGAACTGCCACCTTGCAAGTTGAAAACAAATGGTCTGGAAACTGGAAAAGCTAGCAACTCTTGGTCTTTCACATCTGCAAAAGTTGAACTTGTTGCTGATTCATCATTCTCCAAGAGGATGCCCTTCCTGCGACTAACATAGCATTTGTGGAAGGGAATCTGGAAGATGAATTTCGTCCAGGGAGCCTCTGCCTCCATTTGCGTGAGCCCTCCAGAAAAAAAGCAAAATGCTAAGTGATAGATAGCCGCAGGGGTAAAAAACAACAGCAGGGGCAACAACTTAAAATAGCACATCTTTATGTCAGCAAATGGAAGTGTGTCAGGTGCCGCGTTGGGATCAAAGATTCGGTGAAAGGCCCCTGAAAGGTTGACTCACTAGCCCCAGGTCGGACCTGGAAATACAAGGTCAACCTTTGGAACCTGGACTAAATGTGGACCAAACAAGGGAAACCAAAAGGCTAAAAGGTCGCACCAACTAATCGCCAAGTCACCGTGGAGGTTGTGCTCGAGGTGGTGATGCTGGTGCTGGTCTGTGTGCCTTGCTCAGTTCAAACGCATCCACCCCCCCCTTTCCCGTGGATGGGAGTAGGCCAACAGGTTAGAAGTGAGAAACCAGGGGTTGGTGGGCGTACGGCTTCGATAATGATAGACTTACTAGAACACCCGAGCAACCCGTCCCCAGTTAACCAATTCTAGGAGTTTTGCGGGGTACGATTCAACCCTGCTTCAGCATGTTCAAAACTGTTCGAACAACCACTTTTTGGGCTTCCCTCATTAACGGGGCCGTCTGACGGCATGCTTTGCTCACACGTCCCGAGAAATGCATTTGGAGGTCAAATGCTTACTTTAACGGTTTCCTATAAACCACTATGATCTTGCTGGTTCTCAGCAAGGTATGGTATTCGCTTAGGTTCATTCCAGAACCCTGGATCGTTCCCTACGGAGCACCAAAAGTTATCGACATTATTTAGAGGGTAGCTGTCAGGATGTCTCCTCCTCACTCACCGTGGGCAAAACAGGCCTCATTCGTTTTGAACGTTGAAATGACACCACATCTGGGTGCCAGTGGAAAATGGCTGCCCAATCTCAAATCCGCGAATGTGCAACTCGGTTTCACCCTGTTTACCTTTGAGGATGGTTGTGCAGGGATCAGTTGATTTGACGCCACGCGAGATCACTATAGATTTGTGTCCGGAAGTGTATTCCTGCATAGCCAAATTCGATTTGGAGACAAACCCATCTTTTGCTGATTGGAAACCCAGAATTCATATTCTCCCAGCACCGATGGCTATGGGGCCCATCCGCCAAAACCTCGGATTGTGGGGCGCTGGCAGGTTCCGGAAGGTTCATCTTCTAATTGTGGACACCGCCAGATACACGTGATTCGCGATTCGCCTAAAGCCCAAAACACAAGGCCTATTGGACTGAAAAGCAAAAAAGTCGCGGCAACGACTCTCGTCTCACGCACATCCTTCAAACCAACTGCCAGCCTTAGCATCACTGAACCTCCAGTGACGCTTCATCAAGACATGGGCCTTGCAACCCCTGGGTCTGCAGGATTGTCCCGAAAAGGCAAGATGCTTCAAAGCGGGGGTTATTCAGGGACCCCTGCATATGTCTCTCAGTATTCGGACCCCCCCCCCCCCCCAAAAAAAAGAAAAAGAAAAAAGTGTCGTTGTGTTACTATTACCCCAAGTTGGTACCCTAGAAACACACACACACACACACACATCGCACCTATCGAAACAAGAGGAAGCGCCAGGTGAAACCCTTTGGGTTCTCCCTTGGGCATTGAGGCTTTCCTCGTCCCTGCGAGGAAATGAAGGCCAAAAGCCCAGCCCAGTGTCCGTACTTGGAACCAAAGAACTCACATGTTGATCTGGGTGCACCAAGGGCGCAGAAACAATTTTAACTCCGTTCTGACTCTGTTCCAGAGCCCGAGAGGGACCCCGGCGTCGACCAGTCCCTCAGTCCCCCCGTCTCGAAGGGTCGAATCCTATGCCAGGCTGCTGGAGGTGTTGGTCCAAGTGCTGCTGGTGGAGCTCGTTTGGGTGGACGTGACCTGCACCCAAAAAGTCGAGGGCCGAAAACAAAATCGCCGTTGGGTGATGCCCGGACTCGCAAACTTAGGGCCTACCCTACTGATGAAAACCAATCCATGGCCCTGGCCTTAGAACAAACGGTGGGAAAAAGCACGTTCCTTTTGTCAGTTCGTGCCCCCCAGTATGCTCCCCAGAAGATGTAGCGCTTTGTGAGGCTGTCCTCTGCCAGCCGAGAAAACCCATGCTTGATGACCATCTGCACGAAAAGATACGTTAACTTGGTGACATGCTCCCACTTAAACTGGCTACAACCCACAAAATAAGGCGTACAACCATGGTGAGGGAGGTATGACCAGGGGAAACCACTTAACCATATCCTGACTCTTGAAGTACCCCCAACAAGTCCTTGCCAAAGTTGAACCAGCACAGTAGACATGCCCCAGAGAGCAAAGGCCGAACGGCGTACTGTTTACCTGTTTAAAGATCCCCTCAGGCATCTCTATTCAACTTCCCCCCAGTCACTTGTAACTTGGCTCTTTGGTCTTGGCCAGAACTTGCCACTGATGGATCGCTCTTCTCTCTGCGCCTCAAGCAAATATGCATCTGGGTGTGTCGTGGTTTAGGAGACCTACAAAATGGTGCTGTTCCATTCGGCTTTCCTTCAAAACCACCCCTAACAAAATGCCCTCGAAGAAAAACACATCTAAATCTGTCAAGGGGGGCCACAATGCCAAATGCTGAACTGGGTGTTTGCTCACAAATGGAGGGTTTGGGGTCATTGCAGGAGGCAAAGCAAAACGGAAAAAACGAAAAGGTCACATGACCAGCCCCCACACCTGACACTTGGTTCCACCCAAACATGTTTAACTTGCTGTTCTCAGCAGGGAATGAGGGAATGACCCCTAAAATCCATCCCCTATAGCGTCTTTCACCCCAACAGGGTCATTCCCTACCTATCGCACCAATAGACCAACAAACAACAAAAAACATGTAGGAGCCCTCTAGACAAGGGCTACAGTTCGCCTTTGCCTTGCACTTGGGTAATTTTGGATGGCCTAAAATGGTGAATGTAGATGGCACAACTCCCTTTTTGTGGGTAAAGGAGATGACTAAACTAAAATGGGGAATGGTGCCTTCTACTTTCACCCCACTGACATGTGAAAATCCGAAGAATGCCAGGACCATGATCCGCAATTGAGGAGCATGGACCAGAGCAAATGTGTGCTCTCTTTACTCGCTAGCTTACCTCTATGCCATGCATGTGGGGGGGGGTGTAAAAACCTCGTTTGCGAGTCAGAGGTTGACACCATGTGCAAACAAACTCCAAATACTCATTTGGCAGCATCGATCACAAACAAGGGGCGCCTTCGCACATTTGCCGAAGCCCTTCAGCACAGTGTGCCCTTGGATTCCACTTGATTCTGTATCTAAATACATTTATAAAATATTAGCTGGATATGTAGAAGTACGAGTATCGGTTTATTCATATTCTTCAACATATTGTGTTGGGGGTTGATCAAAAGGTCCTTCACATGGGATGACCATTGGAAAAATGGGAAAAGCCATTTCTTGGTCATTCGGGGGCCAGGAATATTGATCAACCCCTATGTATACCCCCTACACCCAATACTCAAGAGTCAGGGTATGATAGGTATGATGTCAACCCCAGACTAAAAAAGGAGGGATTTGCCATAGGACACCAGGCTTTTTAAACAAAATATATTCCAAACAATGTAACAAGTGTGTATTGTGAGTAGGGGGCATATAGGTTTGTCAAAATCACTGCGTTGCTTTCCCTTTTAATCCAACCAAACAAGGCACGCATCATCGGACCCTCTGAAGGGAAAGGCACCTCCATAGGATGTTTTTGGTTTCAAAAACGATGCCAATCCTGAGGGCCCAGAATCAGTCCAAACGGCCGCTTTCCCTTTGACTGAAACGTTGGTTGTCCCCTACAACATGCGGTCTCGCCCTAAAACACAGCCAAAAGAGTACCCTACTCTCTGTGACTACTCTCATATACAAAACATTTTCTCAGGCTACATTTTGCCGAACCCAGCTGTCCAGCGTATCCAAAAATCACCGCCCCCTCGCCCGGCGAGAAAATCAATCCGCGCCGTGGTGGCGGTGGAGGTGGAGAAGGTGGAGGAGGTGCTGGAGCTGCTGCTGCTGGTACTACGCGTGGTGGAGGTCTCGGCAGAGTTCGACCGCTTAATGACCGCGTTGCACCGGCGCAGCGACCGCAAAAATGGATGCAAAACACACTTTGCAGGCAACGAAAGGGAAACCCCGAGCATTGCAGGTAATGTTGACCCCGGATTAAGAGCAACCCCTGGTTGATTAATAGCAGGGCGTCCAATTCCTTTTAGTGGTTGGATTCAGACCATTTTTGGAGGGAACGCCCCTGTAATAATGGGACGGGTTCATTTATCCTGGGTCAACATTAAGAAGCCATGGATACCGGGGCTCCTAGGCCCAATATCCACCTTCGTTCAGGGTATGATGGGATATGGAGTCAACCGTATTACTTTTACCCCGGAAAACCTGTTTTTTTTTTGGGGGAGTAGGGGATATAACTGCGGCTGGGGCGAGTTCCCATAGTCACACCTACCTTCTTTCGGCTTCCAGAGCGCACAGGAGACGTCGGTTCTACCAAGGTTGATGCGAGGACGGGGCTTCTCAAAAAGGGCAGGACTCAAAAAGGGCAGGACTCAAAATCAGGATTGTGTGACAAGGAGTTTGAGAAATGCCGGGTTTTCAAAGGAATGCTCGCATAGGTAAAACAGGAATGGCAACTCCTGGAAGCCTCAAAAAGAATAGGGGGTCTTCTTATGTCAATGCCTTCGATGACTCGAAAGAGACCCAGACGTGGTGGACCACCCTTTGGCCGGGGGTCAAAAGGGGAACCAGAAGGACAAGAAGCCACTTTAAAGGTCTCAAGAAACTTGAAAGGCAATCAATCAGTCCGAACAAGAACATCACGATAAATTGCTCGGAACCACAAATCTTGTTGCTGCCCTTTTGGCTTACCTGCAAAGACCTGAACAGGCTGCCGGGCACCCTGAAAATGTTTGACAAGGACCGCCTCTGGACCAGAGAGACCTCCCAGGAAAGTCCCGAGGGTTCAAGCCCGATGGTTTTCATCGACCTAAGCAAAGTGAAAGAAAAGGGAAAGCCAAAGCAACTAAGTGAGTGGTCCCAATGCTATCAGGAGAACCCAGGCAAAAAGCGATTCGGGCCTGCCAAGTCGGTCCCGCGATCCATTTGACGCCTCTCTGAAAGGTCACCGGATTCAGTTACCACCCTTGTGTATACATATATATATATATATACATTATTAACAATATACATCCAGTAGTGATGGACTCCTTTCAAAACCAACAGTGGAGAATAAAACATATTCTTGGGCATGGAAGGGCTCGATCTTGAGAAACCAAATGCCCTCATGGGCCCGGAAGGCACTTCTCAGGCGTGCGACAGAGGAGGTTGTGGTGCTGGTGGTGGATGTGGTATTACCTCGGCGATTTGCCCGAGGCAAACCAGTCTGGCCTTTGGAGCTATACAGCTTCTTACCGGTCCGGCAGTTTTCCAACTTCTCCGGTATCGAGCAAGTAAGCATCTGCACGGCTTGGTCGAACTGACTCCAAAAAAAAAGAGACAAGAAGGGCGAGCACGGTTTGCCAATTAGTGGGGAACGCTGTCCAACCGTTGGTATAGTAGCAACAGAACGCTCTTTTGGCATTTGCGGCCAACCACTAAACATGACAAACATGCCGCCAAGAAGCGCAAAACCAAAGGGCGATCAAGCTTTTGACACGGATGATGAATCATTGCTCCATCGTACGGTTTGGATGCGCTTATTGTTCAAGACTCATGAATTCTGCTGCTCTAAATACCCGCATTCGCCCCTGACTAAAATGGTAGCATTTACCATGCAAACAATAATCCCAGATTCCAAAATATACCCTGAAACGAGCGGGTAATTGGAGTAGGGGATGCTCACAAATGATGGCTAAGAGGCTCCTAAAGCGTGGCAAACAAGGGGGAGGAGATCCCCAGTGCAACACCTCGCTGCAGACGAGACTCCTTCTGTACCTCAGCCCGGGCAAACGGGTTTGGTAGTACGTGAAACCAAGGATTTAGCGGCAAAAGTTCAAGCAAGGATCTGCAACTTCAATAACTCCACAACCGGAAATTAGACTGAATTCCCAAGCAGACCTACGTGGAATCGCTCGTTCCCCCGGAACGATGGCTCGCTTGTGGCAGAAGGATGCTTCCTGAAGCCACAGAAATGACCGTTGCTGACCCCTCGGGGCAGAGGGGGCCTCCAAACAATGTGGGATTGGTCGCTATGGGTTCTCCATTGGAAGGCCCTTGTGAGGTCTGCATTAGAGGGGTGATGATCCTTAGGCTGGGGGGAGGAGAGTCTGGGTGATTCAAAGGAAATCCAAGGTGTATGTGCCTTTTTTGCGTTGTTTTTGTGTTGCTATCGGGAAGCAACAGGGAAACAGAAATTGCATTTTTTGGGCGGGGGTTCCAAATCCCTAATTAAGACACCCAAAAGGCCGATCGCTCCTTTAAGTGGGTTGATTCCCCCTGTAGAGCAGGTGGGAGCTGCCCGCTCTGTGCTACCAATGGAATGCCTTCCAAATGACCAATGCTCCATAAAGAAAGGTTCCCTACCAGAGTGGGAAACACGCCCTTATTCCAGCCCTTGGAGGAGGGGTAAGTTTTGGTGCATGAAGGGATTGAGGTGCCGACATTTGTTACCGTTGATGTCCGCCAACCACTGAAGAAACAACTCTCCCTCAGCTCGTTTTCTGATAAAACAAAAAACATAAACAGCACGCGAACATCCTAGAGCAAATACCTTGTTTAGAAAGAACTACAGTGAACTCATCTTCTTTGGAGGTTATGAGGACATCATTGAATTCTGGCATGGATGGACATTATGCAAAAGCTGAAAGCAGAGCTTCCGCTGGCCGAAGGTCGGCTTTTGCCAGGCGACTGGTGACAGTGGTCCTCGTGAAGGTGGTGGTGGTTGCCTAAGCGAAACGCACAGCCAAAAGCTTCGCCTAGATTTCTGCGCTAATTCTTTCCGTTCGTTTTCAAAGAGTTGGTGTGGGTTGACAGCGGCATGTTTGTCGAAAGAAAAACGGGTACTGGCGTTGCTAAGAGAGGTCGGGAAAAAAAAGAAAGGGTACTGGCGTTGCTGAGAGACCAGACTTGATGTCTCAATCCCTTTGCCCCAAAAGTGACCAACTGCAGAACCCGAAGGGTCATGACTCCTCCAATGCAGACCCCTCTTATGTCTTATGGGCCCTCCAATGGAGAACTTGACCAATTCCTCAGGATAACCAGTTCTGAGCGCCCCAAAACAGTGGGGACCCGTAGTGGGAAAATCGACTAAACATGATCAACCAAACGGTGAAAGGAAGACCCAACCAAGCATTCAAGATAGAGATGGTAGGCCGATGCTCAAACAAACGCAAAGCCCCTGGGAAAATGGGTGGCAACTGAAGGGAACGATGGGTGAAGAGCATGAAAAAGCAACCGAAAGAAGAAAGAACACCCAACAGGCAACAAATGAATGTTAATTTCGTATTCCTCCGGAGTCAGGGGTGGTCCCCCTTTTCGTAGAAAAAAAAGTTGTCCCTGTTTAACCGATTCCTTTAACTCGTTAAAATTTTCGAAGCTAACATTACGAGGCTGAACAACTAGACACATCAAGACTAAATCTGGTGTTCAAGCACTATAGCCAATAATCAGAATGGCTTCACCTCAAAATTAAAGTTGGTCAGGATTCCATGGGAACGTGATGTTGTTTTCCGTCAAACGCTGAGCCGGACCCTTCGGACGGGAGCAGTGAGCCTCCGAGGCCCCAACAGTCACTGTGACCATGGGCCACACTGCCTGCGAGTTGAGACTTGGACGTGAGCCTCCCAAAGAAGAGGCTTCCCCGAAAAGAAAGATCCAACTAGCCTAGAGCTCGGCCCCCAGAACAAACAAGGGGTTGCCCCAAATATCATGAACAAAATCCATTTCCAGCCAGTTGGTTGCACATCCGCATCTTTGTTATTTCCGTCTTTCCCGCGCCGGATCACAACGCGTGGATCGGATTGATCCATTTCGCGTGTCAAGCCCCATGGCACCAGCTCTGTGATCCCAAAAGCTACCGATGCGACCGGGAATCCCCAAGCATCCAAAACGGGCCCCTGGAATAAACCAACTGAACGAAAGACCGAGTTGCTCTCATGGGGCTCGGTGGTTGAAGCTTGCCCTCCTCTAACCAGCCGCCCAAATTGTTCCAAGGTAGGATGGAACAAATAACATGGATATAAGTGGGGTAAATGGGGCTAATCCGCTCATAAGAGTTACAACCTATACTTACCAAGTCGGTTGAACATCCAAGCAGGTGGTAGGCCAAGAGAAGACCCCCAGATTCTGACCTGCCACGTGCCGGCTGGCGTTCCAAACTCCGAGGCTCCGAGGTGGGGATCCGCCCAAGGACGCGGAAGGTGTTGCCTAGTCAAACCTGCTGAGGTAAGCTTCGAGAGAGTTGAGTGTTCATGGAAGCGTCCAACAAATCGGGATTAGGAACTTTTCAGGTGACCCGTTGCATGGGTTGAACGAAACAGAATCCGATCGTTTGCACCAAAGGATAACCATGTCAAAATGTGTAGCGCGTCCAAGTGAACCGCACATGGATGCTGCACACATGATTGTGCTTTGGCGAAAGCAGTCGGACCAAATTTTAAAAACCCCTTCATCGAGTCCCAAACAAGCCGGGCCTCCCCTGTGCTGGGAAGTGGCATGTGTTTTTATACAGCTGCCCTTTTGTCCTTGGTTTGGAACATGGGAAACTGTTGCTTCACCAACCTCTCGGAAGCTTGGCACGACTGGCTCGGGAAAACCCTAAAAAAACAACAATCGGGGGTATACAGAAAAGCATATGGAACCCTGGTAAAAGGAAAAGTAGACGAAAACCTGCGTAACCCTAGGTCTTGAATGTAACTTTCTGATACTGATTCTGTCTTTTCCTGTTTGGTCCGTACCCAAGTTGCTTCGAAGACCAAGTTGTTGTGGTCCCTGAAATGACGCGTACTGAGGCGCTCACGGGAGAAGAGCCGTTGCTGTCGGCATCGCGGATGGTGTAGCTGTGGAACTCCGGATCTGGAACCTCGGCTCAGCCGCTGTTGGTCTGCCTCCCAAGGGCCAACAGCGGCCAGCCCAAGGAGTTGGAACCCGCCATGGCGGTGGCATCTGCTGGGAATGAGTAACCCCGGCTTGGGGGATGCATTGGTACCGTTGATGTCTTGAGAATCAGCAAGTGTTTGACGGCCACTCGTGTCCCAATTTAAACTTGAATCCGTAAGCACGGGCAACGCATCCCGGCTTCAGACTTGCCCACTTAAAAAAATGTCGACTGTCGAAAGCCTTGCAATGCCCGCTGAAATAAACGAGGCGGGATTTCCGCATACTCCCAATACCCGCGTTTGCAGGGCATCAACAAAACGCGGGTCTCTGCCCCACTATAGTGGCGGTTCCTCTCAATTTGTATCGATGAAAAGTGAGCGGGAATAAGAATGGCAGGAGATCGCCCCTACAGCACTTGAACTACTCCATTGAAGGGGACGAAGCGGACCTCCTTTGGAAGCTCAAGAAGTGGATGGGCCCCTGCTTGATTTGTTCAAGGTGTCATTTTGTTTACAGGGAATCCTTCACTTCCTAGGAGCCATGTCATCTAATGAGTTCTCTCTCGGGTCGACTTCTCTGGGATCAACCTGAGTTGCAAACGTCGACTTGACTTGTGCTTGTGCGAGTGTGCTCGCTTGTTTCTTGGCGTCTTTGTGTTTGCGTGTTGTGCGTGTTTGTTTTTGTGTGTGTGCGTGCGTGCACGTTGGAAAAAAAAGAAAGGGGAAAAAACAAAAGAAACTTGCAGGCGGGTTTGCAGGCCCAACAAGACACCCCATGCATCTTTGCCGTCTTCGGGCTCCGGCCCAGGTGTGGCAACCTTCGGGATGCACCACCAGAGAGCACACCTGGAGCGCGCCTGGGCTCGGATTTCGGGTATAAGTGGGCAGCTTGCTTCGGGAAACGAAAAGGACAACCATTTTGGGGTCACCCCATTTTGAGCCATACCCGCCTGTTTTACCCTTTTTCCAGGGGCTTTCCAGGGAAGGGCTTGAAGGTACGCAACGTAAAACAAGAACTCTTTTTGAGGGGTATATTCTGTGTTCCAAGCTTGGTGTTAAACACCATGCCCAGAAGCGCCCTTGATTTTGGTGTCGTTTGATTTTTCTTGGCCAGGTGGCTCAATCAGCGCAAAAAGTTCAAATTGCTGGAGGGTAGTAGGGGAAAACCATGACTTTCCAAAAGCAAGAAGATCTCCCTCCCTCCCACTAACGTGGCACTTGACAGGGGGTCTCTTAAGGAAACTGATCTGCCAGGTACCCTTCCGAAGGTTCTATGTAGTGGGAGAAAGGGTAACCCATCGCATTCAAGTTTTCAGGTTTTCGTTCCCACCGACTCCACATTCCAGTGTGTGGAACAAACATCAAGCATTAACCATGTCTCCAAGAACAGTTTACCTCCTATTTGAGTCAGCCCTCAAAAGGCATGATACTTTGAGGCACCCCTTCGATGGAGTTCCAATGATGGCTTACAGGTTCAGACACATGCGCACCTTCACGGCTCCGGGGCCCGTGGTAACACAGCACCCTTGGTCCCAGCGTCTGCCGCGAAAGCCGTGGGAGAAGCCGAAGCAGGTGCCGGCGATGAAGCCTGAGATGCCTAAGCCGGCTGCGCACGCTCCGGAAGGCCTGTTCCATGGTCCTTGGCCCAATGCAGATCCCTCCGCAAAGGGGCCCTCCAATGGAGATCAATTCCTCAGAAACAACCAGTGAGGGCCCGAAATCAATCGGGACATGGCAAATGTGCCCGGGCTCAGTCAAAACTGGGACTTGCAAGGGCCCTTGAGGAATTGGTCGCTATGGGTTCTTTATTGGGTCCCGGGGTGGCCGTTCTGGGATTCTCTAAGTTGTATCTCGATCATGAAAAAAGAAGTGTCATGTGCTGGTTTAGCCTTTTGCAAGTTGGCTCTACAATGTCTTGGGCAGAAGGGCCACCGGAAGCCTTCCCGTTGGAAGGGGATTTCAGACTCCACTTGGCAACCTGAGATCGCCGAGATGGCACACGCCTTAGGACACCTTTGCACCAAACCACTGCCTTTTCTCCCATGCCCCATGGGTCATGACCCCTATGCAGACCAAACTTCACTTCGGGGGACAGTGAAGATGCTACCAACTGTAGGGTACTTCTCAGGGTTCCTGAATTTCTGACTAAAAATACAATCTGATTGTGCGCATGCTCAAAACAGGGGGACCCTGTGCGACCATGTGGGCGCCTGTTTTTGATGCCACTCTTTGAGCCGGAACCCCAACAAACACCACGCGATGTCGGAAACATAGCGCGGGCTTCCCGACAGGTGCGAGCACAGGCCTCGAAGCTGTAGCCCTGGAGCTCCTGCGAAGACGAACTTCGAGGCGGAGTTACCACGATCCGCCCCTTTCCAGCACCCGACCACTGCTGTTTGGCTACCGTACTGGGGATTTTGGACCTGATACTGTGGCGAGGGTGCGGAAATGAAGAAGTCATCACCCTTAGGGTTCTCATGATGTTGAGCGGAATTGGGTTCTTTAGCTTTCCTGGGATAGGTATCCCTGGCTACTCCCCCCACCCACTTTGCTATCCCCGACCGTTTTCCTCATCTCGCTTCCGTGGATTGGCCACAAAATGTCTGAGTCCATGAATTCGAGTGAGTGACCTAGTGGTATAAATGGAAGCAACCTCATTTTCTGACCAACACCCGCAGACATAAGGCAACATGACCCACAAGGGAGTTTCGATCCCTTCCAGGGCTCCCTCTGTGCGCCAAAAGGTGAGGTTTAAACTCCAAAGGAGCCTGGCAAGGGGATGATTTTGGGGATCCTTCAAACAAATCCATCTGACAGGACACTTGGGGACGTATGTTGTTTCTTCTCGCTTCCTTCCATACGTCTGAGGCGTTAATTGTGTTGGCTTTCATGCGGTCAACACTGGGCTAGCGCAAACTTTGTTTTTCGGGTTTCGTACGGTTCTTTTTCGGGTTTGCTACTCTTTGTCTTTTCTTTTTTTACGGGTTTCCTACGGATAATTGGGCTTCGTACAGATGTTGTTGTGTTCCTCCAATTTTGGGGGTAGCTCATCGGCCTCCGAAAAACGTCATGGTACCCACCTGCAGGTGCTTGTTCCCAGCATCGTCCCAAAACTAATGGGGGCCCCACATGAAAAAACAAGTTGTCCAGAAAGAAACCTTCATCCTGTACAATGAGGCTTGACCCGGAAATACAAAGTCAACCTTTTGGGGCCATGACTGGACCACAATGCGAAAACAAGTTCAGGTCATTTCCAGTCGATCCGCTCACCGAGTAAAACCACCCCCTACTCCAAATACCCTCTTTTTTCAGGGTATCATGTCGACCCTCTACTAAAAAAGGAGGTATTTACCATGGAAAAACAGGTTTTCCAAAAGATACCCTGAAAAAAGGCGGTGTTTTGAGCTGGGGGCACCGTGCAAAAAACCAAACGTGGCTGCCTGACCACCGATCCCATCCGCAGCTTCCTGCAGTTCCGTCAGGCATTTCCCATGTGCGGCCACCAGCGCAGTGGTCAGGTCGCCGACCTCGCGAAAAAACTCGAAAAACGCCGTGAACGGCTTAGATACAACCACCCCCCCACTCAAAAGACCCGCTTTTTTCGGTGTGTGTGTGTGTGGGAAAACCTGGTGTTCCATGGTACTTTTTGAGTAGAGGGTCGACATGATACCCTGAAAAAACAGATATTTGGAGTAGGGGGCAGGCTAAAGGGGATGGGGACTAAAGGGATCACTTTAAAGATATCCCAAGAGTAGTGGTCCATCCTGCCGGACGGCAATGAAACAATCAGAGAATCCCCATGCCAAGGGGACTAGCCCCTGTTTCCCCAGCATTCATGGTGAACCCCTCAGAAGGTGCATTTCTGGAAGCGAGGAAATCGGCTGCTTGCTATGGCTGGTTTGGTGAGCTGTGGCCTGGAGCCCCAACGGCGCCGGCTAGTCCCATGCCACCGAAACTCGAGGACTTATGCGTCCGCAGTGTCGGGTGTTCTGTTCTTGGGCTTGGTGCCCTTTTCAGGCTGGTTGAAAGGGAAGCCAAGACATAATTCTGAGGCCATTCTCTTGTTTGGGGGTGCCAATACACATCCATGTAAGAAAAACTCTCTTGGAAATATGGGGAGGGGTAATCCTGGGGGTTCCAAGTAAAGAACCTACTCCCAAATCCCTACCCCTGGTGGTCATGTGAATCGGGGGCTTCTGTTGCGTCCATTTCTACTTTTGCCGGGGCGGGACAAATGGATTGGGGGTGAAATTGGTCTCAAATAATCACCCGGACACTTGATTGCCTCCCTCACCCAATATCCGTTTGTTCAGGGTATGGTAGGGTGTGCAACCCCGATAAAAGAGGTACCATGAAAAGCCAGGCTTGTCAAAATCTACCCAAGGCGGGTACTTGAATTGAGACGGCTTGGCGATGCAACAGGGCTGGGCTGGGAGTTCTGGGCTGTCCTCAGATCCCCCGCTAAAAGTTTAGCTTTTCGTGGGATAAATGGAAATCCCCACTAAAAACTAAAAAGCTAAAACGCTAAGGGCATGGCTGGGAGCCGCCGAGAACTGTATGGAATTCCAGTGGTCATTCTTCCTTCAATTCCATTTGTTCTCGGGGCTAGGCATCTTTCGAACAATGGATCTCAACTCAGCTCAAAATGTTGGTGCTTACTGAATTTATCACTTTCAAGCGGATTCGCTTCCTTGGTATAGGCGGCACCATGCCCTAAAGACCTGGTAAGGACTTCGAGATCCTGCGAACCTGGCTCAAAACCCATACAGGTTGAACTGCTCTGGCCGCAAAATCCGACCCTCCTGTCAGCATTTACCTGGTTTGGATGCTGTAAAATCCAGTGACCACGCGCTAAGGGTCATGCTTTCTATGCGGCCCCCCGGGCCCAATGGAGAACCCTGAGGGAAGTTGAAAAAAGGGACAAGTCAAAGACCCTTCCAAATCCCAGAAAGGTGTGGAGACATCGAATGAATGAGAAAGTAATATAAGCTTTCGCAAAAAAAATATGTCAAGTTCACCAACCCCCGAATGAGTTTTTTCTTTGAAAGGCACCTGCATGGGTGCGCTCGTGGTACCGGCTTTGCACGGAACAAAATCTGCCGATGTGAGTTCACAATTTAACAAGTTCACCATACCGACCTGAATACTGACTATTATCTTTTTGCCCCAGACTAAAATGGAGACACTTGGCCCCAACAAGTTGTTGGTTTGGAGGCCGAACATGTAAATGGCGGCCAGTGCGCCGCAACGACCCCTTTGTCCCGTGTCCTGGGACCCATGTGAGCTGGAAAAAAAAAAACGTATTAAAACTCTTATCCCAGGATGTTTTCATTGCAAATCCAAGCGGCGGTCTTCATAAGAGTGAGGTCCCCCAAAAACATGCCCCTTAAGTGTATGAGGTCTCAGGTGTGTACACCGCTGCAAATTGTTGCTGGCTGCTGCTGCTGGCTGCTGGCTGCTGCTGCGGCTGCTGCTGCTGGCTGCTGCTGCTGGCTGCTGCTGCTGCTGCTGCTGCTGGCTGCTGGCTGCTGGCTGCTGCTGGCTGCTGCTGCTGCTGGCTGCTGCGGCTGCTGCTGGCTGCTGCTGCTGCGGCTGCTGCTGCTGGCTGCTGCTGCTGGCTGCTGCTGCTGCTGCTGCTGCTGCTGCTGCTGGCTGCTGGCTGCTGGCTGCTGCTGGCTGCTGCTGCTGCTGCTGGCTGCTGCGGCTGCTGCTGCCTGCTGCTGCTGCTGCGGCTGCTGCTGCTGGCTGCTGCTGCTGCTGCTGGCTGCTGCAACTCATTGCTGGGATCTGCAGAAACAAAGAAAATGCAAACTACAGAAATGGGACACCCCTGATCCAAGGCACATTGTGTTGTCCTCAAATCGCCCTCGAAATGGTGGTTCGAAAGGAAGCAACCGCTAAAAGTAAGTTTGAGAACCTCTCCAAAAGTTCACTTTGATGGACTCGATAAATTAGTTAAACAAACAAACAAACAAGCAAGCAAGCAAACAAACAAACAAGTCTAGCACCCAAATGCTCCAAAACTGAGGCTCCTGCCACCATCCGCACCGGCGCGGGCAACGCCAGCGTCCCGTCGCCTAGAGGCGCGTAGTCCGAATCCAGTCACCAAGGCGTGGAAGCTGTTTTTGCAGGTTGATTCGTTGATTCGTGTGTGCAACGTCTGTTGCAATTGATTGCAAACAAAGAAACAACAATCGATTGCACTAACATTCAAGTGCAAAAAAAACTATTCCCAAAAACATGAGTAGTCTTTCTACAGGGTCACCGACTTCAAATTGTGGCTTTAAGAGAAACTGCCGGGACCCAAAAGTAATCTTGGGAGGCGGGTGGGCCGCTTTGTCTGCGGCAATGCCACCAAGCAACCGGAAGCATACTTGAGCCAACCATAAGGCAACTAAACCCAATCTTCCATCTGCTTCAATGCCCTCGAAGTATGAATGTATTTCCAGTGGTAATTTCCCTATAAAACAAACAGGCGAAATTGCTAAGTCGTGGATTGGCCCATTTTTGGTCTACCCGGTGGGGAGGGTATGCTCTGTTGTCTTTGTGCACGTTTGCGTTTGCAGCGGCGTCTTAAGCGGCTGCGAGGTTGTGCAAATGTTGCTTCTGTTTCGCCCTTTCTTCAGATGGTCGACCGACTGAGTAAGCGGATCAGATCCCATAAGGGGCAGAGTTGAGTGAGCAGCTAATGTCCAAAACAGTTTTGGGGGTTCATATGCCACATGTTCACCAAACTACTAGTTGAAATTAAACCGACTAGTTTGGTTCAACACACCTAACTCCAGGTTTATGTTCTCTGTTTCAGAAACATCCTCAAATCACTCTCTATGGTGTTTTGCAGAGAATCACCGCCAATTTTACTTAAATGTTCAACCAACTTCGTAAGTTGGTAATCATGATACATGTGGAGTAAGTGAGGTTTGTGCCCTTGTAACCACCGTTATCAAGTGGTTTGAACACCCAAGTACAGGCTTCCATTTTCAAATGTCTTCAAGCTCTTTTGGGGGCATCAACCTCCCTCTAGGTTTAAGTCTACCTGGTAATACTCCTCCGTTTGCGGATATGTTCCCTGGAAAAACAAGTCACAATAATAAAGCATATCTCCAGTTGGTCCAATGATGACAAACATCTCCCTTGAGAACCACCAGGGAAAAACATCGCTAAGCAAACGGAAGCCAAGAGGATTCGCTGAGGCTGGACAACCCCCTGCCGAAGTTTCTCTGATGGTTTCCGTTGGAACGAAATGGCCACTTGAGTCACAATCAAAAACCCGGTGCTGACATGGTCTACCCAGAACCATGTAAAGAATTAAGCAGGCGGATATCCGAAGCCATTTATGGTTGGGATTGTCCCTTACTAACCTTCATCAATCCCCGGGTTTTGAGCACGTGGCTCACTTGACTCAGTTGTTCCGTGACCCTGGAAAAAAAGGGAACCCTTTTTGGGGAAGACCATTCATTTTTAAGGCAGCCACTAAAAAGAGAGCATCTTCCCCAACCTTGTTTTGTTTCGCTTGCCCGGGTCTCAAAAGTGCCCAAACTCCAGCAAAAGGAGGGCATAAGAGGCTTTTTCGGCGTTCCCAGGGTCATAGGGGTGCTTGAAATGGTGACTCCTGCCGGTCTGCGGGCCCCGCTGTGGGCGAAGGACCGCGCGGAGGCGTTCCAGAGCTGCTGGAAGCGCCAGGGGCTGAGGTGGGGCCTAAGCCGTCCACAGCCGAAACCACCTCTGGGTTTCATGGGATATACTACCGGCCACGATTTAGAGGGTATATGGCCTGTTTTCTAGGGGTTGATTCCTTGTCCATTCTTGTCAGCCATTCCTCTTTTCAGAAACCGATCGCCATTTCCCCAGGGATTTTGCAGGTTTTCTAGAAAGAAGGATCCTGGAAAGAATGGGGAAGTTACCCCTAGAATGGAGCTACCCAGCTCGAAGAATTCAAACAGCCACCGGCCACCAGCGCTTGGGGAGTGACCCGCGCGCAGGAAACCGCACAAACAGGGCAGGCTGAAAGCAAAACACAAAACGATCAGTCAGAATGAATGGCCAGGACAGAAACATAGGTGATGCAAGCTGAGGTCGATAATGGCCTTATTTTACCCTCCCACCTTTTTGCATGGAAACCGGCGTTTGGGGAATCGGTCCTGGCTTGCACCATTTTCCTTTAAAGGGAGACCCTGTCAGGTTCCATGCCAATTGGTGGGAGGGTATATTAACCCAAGCATTGTTTTGATGGTTTGAATCCCATGGACAACAAAACAATCATAGATATGGTGTCAACCTGGCTGATAAAGAAAGCAACCATGGATAGAGACCTAGTGCTTTCACAAATATGCCATATGCCAACTAAACGCCGAGTATTGTGAGATTGTGGTGGGGGGTAGATGGCCAATCCTTGGCCAGCACTGGCGTCGTGTCGTCGTGTTTGCCATCCGAGTGGCCCTAAAAACCAGCTTCCCACCATGCAGCGGTGAAGTTTGCAGTGGAAGTCGCCCAATTTTGTGGCAAGAACTCCCCGCAATAGAAATGTGTTTGACTTCAAGGTAGTTGGGAAATCACAGGTTTGGCCCAAGGTTAAAAGATCCAACCTAATAGCATTCAAGAAACAAGCAAGGCGTCATGCATGTGGATGTCTTGGAACCAGCGCTGGCCCCTGATTGATGCCTGCTTCAAATCAACCTTCGAGCTGGATTTGGAATTTGAGGTACAGGTGACATCCCCTGCATCCGGCAGGTGTTGCGCCATGGAACATGAACATAGGTCCGTTGGGCCAGACTTCCAAAATGTTCCATCGGACAAGTAGGGAAGCCCAGGGCAATCTCGCAATGTCCTCGAGGGTTCCATATGTGTTTATCCATGAAGCTCGCTTAAATGAAGCTCAGTTAAAATTTCCCCAAAGGCGATGACGAAACCACCAGAGAAATCTTACAATATGTCCAGAACCTGTATCGCTCCTTCTCTATCTCCCCAGTGACGCCCAAAAATAGGCAGAGCAACGTTCTCTGGCGTATCCCTTCGTGGGGTTCAAAGGGACACCAAATCTTTTTTGGAGATGCCAATCCCGATGTTCACCGGGTCTGACTGCAGGGCCCCTTATAGGGTAGAGGGCATGACATAAAACCACACAACTCAGACCCCACAAATCCTCACCCCCGAGGCTCATGACGCCTCCAATGCAGACCCTCGGGCTCTCCAATGGAGAACCCGATTCCTTCAGGGCCCTCGAAAACAATTCTTTGAGGACCCCAAAAGCAGTCGAATCGGACCCTTGCATCAGTTTTCTCAGCGCCCCGCGTGAGGCACTTGATCTCTCGCGAGGTACTTTCGATCACCTGGCTGGCTCTCGTGTTCGGAGAAAAAGAAGAAGAAAAAAACAGCTCGCGTGAAAGCTTAAAGAAACCCAAACATACCAGCGATATATATATATAATATATCATATTTGTTTACACAACTTGTGTTTGGGCTCTAAGGGACACCAGCAAAACATACACTGCAAACCTTTGGATTTGGTACGTGTTTGGCCAACTTCTTGCAGACTTTCTTGTCAAGCGTGGGCTTCAATGCGCCCCCGCTGAAATCCGCGGCAGGCACCAGCGCACCAGCCCGATGCGTCACCGCATCTGAATTGACAGACCCCATGTCCGGGCCTTATGAAGAACCCGAATGAATCATATGACTCTTTCGGGTCCAAAGCAGCCCCATGTTCGAGGACCTGTAAGCACCCAGAGCTGCACGCCGGTTTCTCCAAGAGCCAAATGCCTGCGAAACTCGACAAAGGGCAGGAACGTGTTCAACTGACTAGGACCCACAAACCATGGAATGGGACACTTCAATTATCTTTGGAGGCCCACTGACCTGCCAGACCCTGCGCTTGCCTTGCAGGGCCCAACCTCCTCGAAGAAGATGTGGGCCTCGGCGAGCATTTTCGAGCGAAGCCATTCGAGCGGGCGGTGCGTGTGGGGCATGCCGCTTCAGTCGAGTTCGTTTTTGGGTGCAGTGAGTCCACGCCTCCGCGGCCGCGTTAAACTAAAGGGTGCTTTCTTCGGGCGCCTCCTCTTGGGTCCGTGCAAGGCGAAACATGCCTATACACGAATCTGCCAAACAAAAAGCTTTTGGACTGCCTCGCGGACTGTGGACTGCCTGCGTGATCGGTTTGCCCCACCAGAATTGCGCATGCGGAGCCTTCGCGGCATAAAGAGAGTTTCCCCCCGAATACAACGCGAATACATGGCTGTGGGTCAAAATCCTGTACCCCTGGTGAACATCAAACTAGGTGGCGAATTGATGTTCATCCACCTCCAAATGGAGCCATAGGTTATGCCCCATGGCCACATAGCAACAAATAATTAGGCTTACTTGTTGCGGAGTAAGATGTCATCCCCGGACTAGAAAAGGAGGTATTGACCATGCAAAAAGGAAACTGGGCTTGAAACATGTACGTATTGTGAGGCAGTCCAAATCTTCCAAATGAACCAAAGTGCTTCGCCAGAGCTGGAGTCTATCCACCCCAGGAAGGAACACCTCCAGGGGCATGGATGAGCATAGCGTGAGCGAAGCCCTAAGAACATCACAATAAAATCCTGAACAAAACTTGTTAACTTGAGCCCAAACACGAGCTTCAACGGAAGGGTCGAGAGTCCCCTCCCAACGAGACACCAAAACGGGGCCCTCAATAGCTACGGGAGGGTGCCTCGCGAGCCTTGCGGTGCCCCCTTCAAACTTGGGTCGATTCATAGCTTCGCGCATCAGCCACATGGCTTGCCATCCTTTCGCTATGACTCGAGAAATCCGCTGTAAGGTTTTACTGAAATGGGCCTGTGCGCTTTTGAGGGTACCCTTCTTAGGTGGGTTTCAAGACAAACCACTAGGAAAACCATCAGGGGTCCCCCCTATTTGCCTATTTGGAGACATACCCAAATGTGCTCATCCACATGACTAAGTATCATTTCAGAGGGGGCTCCACGGCAGGGCAACCAGAGGGAAACCAGAGGGAAACCAGAGGGAAACCAGCAACAAACCGGCCTGCTCTCAATGCCAGTGTTTTTGTTTTAGGGTTATTTGTTTTAACCACCAAGTGGTTCATGGTGCATACGTGCCCCATGTTCACTCAGGATTGACGTCATACCCTTGAAAAACAAAGCGGTGTTTGCCCTGTGAACTAGGGGACCGCCATGGTATCCTGTTGGTTTCCGGAGAAGAAAAAACAACTCAATCAACACACACCCATTTGTGGGTGTCGTTTTTAAGGGGACCCGTGTGGAAACACACACACAACTGGGGGTCCCCTGCAAGAAGCTGCAGGCTCTACGGCTCCATACAATTCCAAGACCTTCGAATTGGACCCCTAACAGCAGCACCAACATCGTGGGTGGCAACGTTCCTTTTTCGCCCAACAAATTGGTGAGCTCGCCGACTGTGGTCTGCGCTAACATGTGGAATAGTTTTGGAGGAGACCCCAGTTCTGACCATGCCACATTTGGAGTCCAAACATCTGAGCAAGCAGATTAGAACATATTAGAACCATGAAGTGGTTTTGAATAATCAAGGTATGGGAGGACTGAAAAATATGTGTCTTTCTTGGAGAACCCCCAAAGTACTGGTTTGCGTATTTAGGTACCCTCGCAAAAGACAGGCCCAAATATTCCAGACGAGCTCGGCGCCCGGTGCACGTCAGGGAAGCCAATGCCGGAGACAGTCACCACCTGCGCGCACGGCCGCCGCGGGGTTCGGAAAAAATCGGGGACTCAAAAGGGAGGCAAATTGGTGTGCCTCTGTGTGTGTGTGTTGTTTGGGGGGGGAACCCCTTCTTGATTGGTTGTGCGGGAAACCGTAAGGAAAACCACGGGATTGTCTGATTTTAAGACAAACATGGTCTTGGATGTTTCAAAGTCTTCTCGAGAGGCAAAGCGGATTTGGAGCATTTGGAGGGATCCCACCTTTGAAACGGACGGTGTTTGGGTTTTTTTCGGTGCCCCAACCAACACTTTCCCCCTGAAAGCGTGGTCGAGTGGCTCCGGCCCCCTGAATTCCATTTGGGGATGTTGCCAAGACCTGCGCCCTGTTCCTGGCTTTTCCTTTTTCGTAGTTCCCCTGGAAGGAACACAAACGCCTTTGGTAGTGATGGATCCCCTTCAAACCCAGCAGGGCAAAAAACAAGACATTCTTCAGCTCCCTTCTTTTCCATGAAAAACCGCGGGCTTTTCCCCCGCTGCCTCCCCCGAAAGAGTGCCATGAATGCGGATGCCATCCAGCCCTTATGTTGTTTTTCTTTGGAATCGAAACCGGAGGAAACCGGAGGAAACCGGAGGAAGCCGGAGGAAGCCGGAGGAAGCCGGAGGAAACCGGAGGAAACCGGAGGAAACCGGAGGAAACCGGAGGAAACCGGAGGAAGCCGGAGGAAGCCGGAGGAAGCCGGAGGAAACCGGAGGAAGCCGGAGGACGCCGGAGGAAGCCGGAGGAAGCCGGAGGAAACCGAAGGAAACCGGAGGAAGCCGGAGGAAACCGGAGGAAGCCGGAGCCGGAGGAAACCGGAGGAGGAGGAAACCGGAGGAAACCGGAGGAAGGGAGGAAACCGGAGGAGGGAGAAGCCCGGAGCCGGAGGAAGCCGGAGGGAAACCGCCCGGAGGAGGAAACCGGAGGAAACCGGAGGAAGCCGGAGGAAACCGGAGGAAAGCGGAGGAAACCGGAGGAAACCGGAGGAAACCGGAGGAAGCCGGAGGAAACCGGAGGAAAGCGGAGGAAACCGGAGGAAACCGGAGGAAACCGGAGGAAACCGGAGAGGGGTCAGTTGAGTTGGACATCCAGCTCGTTGGGCTGCTTCTTTTGTAGCTTTCGGGGTGCTTGTTTCACGTTCGTGTCTGGCAGGGCCGTTCATGTGGACTCAAAGGCTCACGACTGCCCCGGCCTCCAAAAAGGAGATGTCGAACCGAGCCAAACCCCTTGCAACCGCCCGACTCCAAGATTTTCCCTTTAAAACCATCCGCAAGGGGGGCCATTTTCAGAAACCTCCTGGCTGCATACCCCTTTCCACGACGGAAACCCAAGGCGACGAATTTGGTCACCATGTTCCTCCAGAGAATGAATAAACACAACTGAGACACGTAGTTTCCAGTAGATTTGCGCCCCTCTTCACAAGGCCATTTTGTTGTTTTTCTCCGGGGATAAACCACATAGCTGATAAGGGTGCACCATGTGATTTTGGGTGGAAACCATCTTGGAGTCTCCAAATACGTTGGGGCTTGGGGTAGGAGTTCTCAACTGACCTTTATACAGGCATTGATCTTAAACACCACTGCCCAAAGCATCATTGAACTCTTCACTGAAGGGGTTGAACCGGACCTCCATTCCATGGTTCTGATTCTGTTGCCTTGCCTGTTTGATGCGGGCGACACCACGCTCGGGCCAAACAACTTTGAAGCCCAACGGACGCCTGAGCCTTTGGTTCTAGCAGCATTGACGGAACCCCATGAAAGGCACCAGGTACCACCCACACCTGGGCGATTTCTTCTATTCACAAGCCCACGGAAGGAACCGATCGAGATGAATATGTAAAAAAGAAGAAAACAAAACGCGGCCAAAGTATCTGGCTCTTTGTCACTATGATTGGCTTCCTTTGGCTGTCCCAAAAAGATACCCAGAAACTCCGCCATTTTGAGAACTGTCCAACTTCGCCAAATATGGCAATGCGCCGGAACCTGGCGGAAAAACTGAGGTAAGATATCAACATCTTCGGACCTTTAGGAACCAAACCAAGACTCTCCGCATGGTGTGCATTCCCCGCCTTGCCGCCGGCAACCGGACCTCCAAAGGGCTCCAGGTTGATGACCTTCAGCTCCTGCCTCGACGCCGTTTAGCCGTTTTGGTGCGCCAAAGCCGTCGTTTTAGGTGGAGTGTTTAGAGGGAACCCCTGCCCCCCCCCCAAAAAAAAAAACGGACACGAAACCTTCCATTTGCGCTTTTTCGGTCCCAACAAAATGAGATGTGTCCAGTGATAGATCCCCGCCAAGGGAAAAACCAAGATGCTCAGCAAATGGAAGCTGCCCTAAAGGCCCAAGGTCCTTGCTTTGGGTAGTTTGTCTTTGGGAGAAACTGCAAATCAGGGACGCTCCGCCAGATTCTAGCACTTCTAGGGTCGACCCCTAACACTCAAAAGGGGCCGTGAAATAGCTAGGGGTCGTGGTTTGGGGGTTTCCCAACCCGGGGAACTTCTCTAATCCAAACCAACCTGTCCGAGGAAAGCCGTCTGTCTTTTTGCTCCCTTGCTGCTTTTTGTTCGGAGAAAACAGCTCTAGGGCGCAACGGCCCAAAGAATGGCCCAAGGGGACCCCATTCGGATCATGAAGCCGTGGCAAATACCTCCCCATTCTTCAAATGGTTTGAATCCCAGGGCAGATGTGATGAGAGTTGGTCCAAGTGTTGTCTCGTTTGGGATTACCTTTGGACGTCCATTTCAGACTCCAAATCTGGGCCTTAGACCATACCCAAGCAGCAAGGATTGTCCCAATTGGTGGAACCAATAAGCAAGGGACCATTGAACGGAGTTGGAAGGAACCTCGGTTGCAACTCAAAATCCCGCTTTTGAGGATGTGAGGACCCGTTTGATGCGGGTCAACATGGAGTGGCCAACCCAAGTTTCCCAAAATATCAAGTCTGGGTTGCTTCAAGCCTGCCCAGTGCCCTTGTTGGAAACGAAACTGAAAGGAGCTTGGAGGGTCCAAATTCACTGAGGCATCACCCGAAATTATGTTGAAATCCAAAAAGAAACTATTCTCGGCATCAAACAAACTTATTGGGACGAGCATGCTGCAAAACGCAGTTTTGCAAACAACTATTAGACACTTAGTCATCAAACATAATATTACCAAACATCAACAACAAACTTATACAAAACACGGCCACATCATCAACAAGAAACAGCTTGGACATAAAAACAAATAATTAAAAAATTATCTTTGCGGGATAGCGCGTGCATAATGCGGCAATGGTGCGCCAATACAGAGCCAACTCGTTGAAACGACCTCTACAGGAAGCGAAAACCGCCAAATTTGCCATGCAAGAGCTAGCGCGCGGCAAACAAAGGGGAGGAGAGCAATCCCCCCAACCGAGTTAGCCAGCTAAAAAGGCTCTCCCTCCTTTCTTCCTTCCTTTCTTGCTTGCCTGCCTGACTGCTTTGCTACAGGAATAGCAATAAGTTGTTTCTTGATGCTGATCACTAGTGAGATTCTTGACGCCTAAGCTGGGAGGGTTTTCTCTGCATGTGAGAGCTACCTTCTGCCAGGTTTGGCGCCCGTCTCTGATTGCGTCTGGCTAAGGCTGGCGCATGATCTTGAAGCTGGCAAATGTCCTGCGCGGCAGCGATTTGAACGCGCCAGCTACCAAATACACTTGGAGGGTTGCCGAAACGAAATCCACAATAGAGGAACCACTTGAAAGAGGACCCTCTCTTAACAAAAGCTGAGCTACTCCCTGATGCTAGTAACCGTTAAATCTAATGGAAAAGCCATTCGCTTTCAGCTCGACGAAGCCCAAAAGACCAGCCATAAAAAAGGTGGTAAGGTTCAGGGATTGCCTTTTTGGATCGGTGTCCTGTTGTGTCGCCTAAGGGCCGGGTCTCAACACCATGTATTGACGGCATTGAGGCTCGAAATCCGGTGGGGCCGGCACAAAGAGGACACCTCCAATGGATTAGCACAACTGCAGCCCCTTCCAACAACGCCACACAAAAGCACACACACCCAATGGCTTCTTGTCCAACAATGGTCAAAGCAAGAACGAACAAAACAAACACAAATCCAGTGGCGCGCCTTACCGACACTTTTGCCCATGACCTGGCGCAACCCGTATTGGACCAGCAAATACGCCAATCAAAAGCGGCTCAAAGCCCGCATGATTGAAGCGCAAGTCAAGATGTTGCCTTCAAGGAGCTAGGCCCTCGCTCTCGAACCCATCGGGGCTTGGGCCTGTCGCATTTTGTTTCTCCAGCGCCCAATGGGCTTCCCTAGGCCCAAACTGTGCAAGCTCCAGATTCTGGGAGGCTGAGAAGCTACTCAGAATTCACATTTGCCTATGGGTCAAAGCCCGTGCCCCCAGTGAACATCCCAATCCAACCCCTGAAATAGACGAAAATGGCTGGTGCACCTACCCCAACATGGTGCCATTGGTGTTGACCCACGGCCATTTCTCAAACAACAGCTGACCCTTTGTCCGAGGTATTACCTTGCCCATCCTTGCTGCTCCAAGAGGTCTGAATTGCGTCCCTTATAACAGACCTCCCTCAAAAGAATCAGAACAACACACTTCCCTCCGCCAAACATACACGGATTTCCCTCTACATGACACACTTGCTCCCTTTAAACCCCAAACAAAAGGGCCGATTCAAGCACCAGACCTCGACCTGCCCTGCTCGACCTGGGTATGGCTCAAAAAACCGGTACCAAAATGGCTTGCCCTGGTAAGTGGAACCACAGAAACCAAAACCTGCCTAACCCACCTGCTCTTTAATTTTGAGCCACACCCATTTGGGGGGTCCAACAATAGAAAGCACACACACACACACACACAGGGGTCTTTCACCTGCGTAACCCCAGCTCTTTAATTTTGAGACACACCCATTTGAGGGGTCCAACCTTAGCAAACACACACACACACACACACACAGGGGTCTTTAACCTCGTAGCCCACCTGCTCTTTCATTTTGAGCCACACCCAAATGAACATATTTTGGTTTCCCTGGTGGGTTTTAAGGGGATTCTATCACTCTCGGGCTATTTGTTTTCAGTAACCCACCTGCTCTTTAATTTTGAGCCACCTGCCACCTCTACACATGCCAGAGTTTCCCTCTACATGACACACTTGTTCCCTTTTCACCCCCAAACCAAAGGCTTCGTCCCGGGCCATGATTTCGCCAAGGGCCGATTCAACAAAAATCCTTACATTATACACCTGAACACTGCCTTGTCAATGGTGGTTACCCTTTATTTTGGTGGAAAAAGCCACATGTCTCAAATGGTTGCAAAATGAATTTCTTTTAAGGAGCCCTGTTCGAGCTGCTGGCTCTACCGCTCGGGAGCGCTCCTGGAGGCGAGGTCTGCGAAGCCCAGCGCCGTGGGCTTCACCAGGACGTCGTGGAGCCCCGCCGCCGTGGCGCAGGGCGCCACGCGCAGCAGCGTCACGTCCAGCACGTCGCAGCTGGCGGCGGGACTTTTCACCGCGGGAGTTTCGTTTTTGGAGCGGACGAAAAGGAGGGGGTGGCTGGAAGCAGTTTCAACCGAAACCGAAAAGGAAACCAAAAAGGGAAGCCGGTTTTCGGAGGGTCAGATTCTTTCCGAGTTTCGGGTGGATATTTCTACTGTTGGGCGTTTCTCAAACTTGTACCCTGAGGTTTATTGAGGAAAAACTCAACCTTTGGGGTCCAACAAATTGAGATGTTCAAACCAGGGACTTCAGTGGAGAACCTTGACCCCGTTTTCAGGGGGTCCAAGCCAGCTTTTAGAAAAAGCCATGGGGGCCAGGGTGAGGGGACTAACCTCAATTAGACTATCCATACCCACAAACGGTACGTGGAAGATGAGCTTCCTGTGCTATGTTGGGAGGAAGAATCGGTAGCCTGCCAACTTGGTACATCCAAACATGAGGCCGGAAGATCATCACTCCAAAGACCCGGATTTGGAGTATCCACGCTGGGATTTGCTTTGACCCGGAGGTTTGGGGCTCCGAAATCCTGGCGACACCTCTCTGCTTTCCCAAACAGGCAGGTCCCTTCCTCCTCAGACAGGAGAGGTTCTGCTGGCAGAAATGCAGGTGTCCAGAAAAGAGACACAAACTCCGGTGTCTCAAACCATCTGGATGATGTCAGCCTCTGGCTAAAAACAAGGGGTTTTTGAGATGGTGGAGATTGTGTGGCGCGTTTATTGGGACCCCATGTCAGCCTCTTGGACATGGTTGCAGAAATAACTCCCCCGAAATCTGCGATGCTGAGGTGGACGGGCCCCACGATGGGAACCACAAAATGTCCATCAGTCGCAGCGTGATAACCATCATTCTTTGGGCTCTTGTTGTACTGTAGGGTTGCAATGCAGAAGAAGCAGATCGTACCAAAATGCGCCAAACACACAGATCCGATTCACCCGAGTTCAGTGACAAACCCTCTTGTTCAACTGCATGCCATAACCGGGCACCAATAGAATCATTGCCATTGGACCCTTTGAGGGGGGAAGGAACTTCGGAAGATTTTTTGCGCGAAAAACACAACCTTCACGTATGGGAGGGGAAGACCACCCCCCAATTCTACCAGGAACTGTGTTCTAGGCCTCTTCACGAGCGCGCTGGGGCCGTCAATGGACACCGTGCCGTTGACCTCGTGACAGAAAAAGCAGGTACTCACCTGCCCTAAGAGTCCAATGCGATTGTTTTCTGTTCCCCATAAGTTTCCAGTCCTTGGGTTACTCCAACCAAATGGGTGAGCAACACCAGACCATGTATCACATAGCACCTCTGGGCCACACGGTGGGTGCAGTTTCTGCCAAGAAACCCTTCCCTGCCAGGAGCATCGACCTGTGAGGCGCCATGTTTGCTCTGGGTGCTAAAAAGGGAATCTGGAATAGCCCAACAAGATGCCCATGCCCCTGTTGGCTTCCCTTTGACGGCAAAAAAGAGATATAGGGGATATGTGGCACCCAGACATGAGATGACTTCCATGTGTTTCTTGTTGTTTGCCCGTGAAAAAGCATGCAACCATATGTGAAGTGATGATTTCCTGCAAAACCAACAGGGGAAAATGAACAAATACTAATTTCAGCAAATGGACGAATTTTGACACTTCAGGTACGAATGGACGGGTATGGGAGAACTTTGAAACCAATCGTGGTTTTAGGGGAAGGTGGGTAATTGTTTACTCAAACACCTCTAGCGTCGGGAACCGCTAAATGGAACCCCTAAATGTCAACATGATGTTGTTTTACCTTTTGGTGTCATGGAAACATCTTCTGCAAAACTTGCTGGTGCTCAGCAGGGAATCAAAAATGGAATGACCCTTATAAGCCATCCAACTTGTGGTTGAGCCAAGCAACATGCAGGCGAGACCAATCATGAAACAACACTCCCCGTGTAAGTGACTGAAAGGAGCTGCCTGACTGGTGGTTTCCCACAACGCAAAAAGGTTCATTCCCGCATTCCCTACCAACACATCTATGTTTTTGGAGCTGTCGCCCTTTTCGGTTTTGGTTTTCCAGGGAAACCCAAAGGACCCCAGCCGCTCGTCGACCCACCCCTACATGGCACCCACGGCCGGACCCCGACGCCCACGCAGCGCCGAGCGCGGATCGCCCCGCGCCGAGCGCCGGGCCACGCAGCGCTTCAGGCAGCCCGCGGCGATCTCCGCGGTGAGGTTGGCGCCTCGGGACCCGGGGGCCGTTTGGTCGGGGCCTTTTGGTTTCACCAACCGTTCCCCAGTATCCATTGATGGTTGAAGGGCGAGCCATTCCAAATCTCACTTCCCTTCTGACCTCAGATGCCCAGTGGATATATCCTTGGGAAAAAAGGATCGGCATCCGATTTTTTTGGGCTGGTGGACTTTGCGAAAAAGGGCATGCTAGGTCCTCCAGTAGAGAGGATAGAATACGTTGGCACACGTTTTGCTTTTCTGTGGACTATTTTAGTAGGGGAACCCTCCACCAAAAAGGGTAAAATAATTACTGGGGCACCTAGCGCCTCAGATGCCCAGTGGATTTCCATGGCAAGAAAAGAATCGGCATCCGAGTTTTTGGGCTGGTGGACTTCAAAGGAATCGGAACCCTTCCCCGGAACTCGGCAAGCAACTTCCACCATTTGCTTGCCAAAGTCCTGGGGAAAACAACACACATATTTGCAGTAGTGACAGATTCCTTTTCAAACCAACAACGGCAACCACGGTGATTGCACTAGCCCTACTATTGTTTTACTGTTGAATCTCAGGAAAGCCCTTTTTTCCACGGCCAAACGCCCTTTTGCAGGCCCGAGCCAGTGGCAGTCTCGAGTCTTTGTTTAGTTCATTTCCGACTTTGTGGGCTTGCGGAGTGAACATTTTCTTGGAATTGCAACTTCTGTCGCCTTGGCATCTGGGCCTGTATTCCGAGGGGTAAACCATATCCAATGCAAGATGTGGACGAGATCAAGGAAATGCTTGTCCCTTGCAAGGCTCACGGCTCTTCGCTCGTGCTCCTGACCAACATAAAGACATCTGACCAACAAAATGGCGATCCAGTTTGCCAACTTCACGTGGCCCACATCTGAGGTACAAAGAACATACTCTTTGCTGGCTTTTCACCATGTCTGGACATTCTTGTATATATATATATATATATGCTACCCCCCCCCCCCCGGGTACCCAGGTTTGGGCTTGGTTCAGATGTGCTTTGACCGCGGAAGCAGGCAGGAAGAATAGCTCAGATTTGCACACTGGGAGACCAAAGGAAGGAGGTTTGCCTCATTCAAGAAAAACGCCTTGGACGTGACCCATGCCCTTTTTCAATTTTTCAATGGCTCTTCCACAGATAACTCACATATCTTCCCACACAAACCATGCCTTCTTTCAAAGGCTCTTCCACAGATAACTCACATATCTTCCCACACAGACCATGCCTTGTTTCAAAGACTCTTCCACAGAAAATTCACACATCCTCTCACCCAACACATGTCTTTTTACATGTCTTCTTTCAATGAAACAAAGGCAGCATATGTGAAAGAGTTGCCAAGGAAAGTGAACCCTGTGTAGAATATAACCAGGCTATGGCTGGGACAGTTTGTTACATAAATGGTGGTTTTACATGATATTTATTGTCTTTTGCTGTACTTTTATGAATCACTGTAGCCCTGACTCTTCCACAAAGACCCACATATCATCTCACACAAAACATGTCTTTTTCAATAACTCTTCTCTACAGAAAATCCACACATCCTCTCACCCAGAACATGTCTTCTTTCACAAAGGTTCACATATCCTCTCACCAAAACATGCCATTTTTCAAAGGCTCTTCCACAGAAAATAAACATATCTTCCCACACAAACCCCTTCTTTCAAAGACCCTTCCACAGAATATTCACACATCATCTCACACAAAGCATGTCTTTTCAATAACTCTTCTCTACAGAAAATTCATTCATCCTCTCACCCAAAACATGTCTTTTTACACGCCTTCTTTCACAAAGGTTCACATATCCTCTCACCAAACTCTCACCCAAAATATGTCTTTTTGCATGCCTTCTTGCACAAGGAATCACATATCCTCTCACCAAACCCATGCCCTTGTTCAATTTTTCAATGGCTCTTCCACAGATAACTCACATATCTTCCCACACAAACCATGCCTTCTTTCAAAGGCTCTTCCACAGATAACTCACATATCTTCCCACACAAACCATGCCTTGTTTCAAAGACTCTTCCACAGATAACTCGCATATCTTCCCACACAGACCATGCCTTGTTTCAAAGGCTCTTCCACAGAAAATTCACACATCCTCTCACCCAACACATGTCTTTTTACATGTCTTCTTTCAATGAAACAAAGGCAGCATATGTGAAAGAGTTGCCAAGGAAAGTGAACCCTGTGTAGAATATAACCAGGCTATGGCTGGGACAGTTTGTTACATAAATGGTGGTTTTACATGATATTTAATGTCTTTTGCTGTATTTTTATGAATCACTGTAACCCTGACTCTTCCACAAAGACTCACCTATCATCTCACACAAAACATTTCTTTTTCAATAACTCTTCTCTACAGAAAATCCACATATCCTCTCACCCAGAACATGCCTTCTTTCACAAAAGGTTCACATATCCTCTCACCAAAACATGCCATTTTTCAAAGGCTCTTCCACAGAAAATAAACATATCTTCCCACACAAACCCCTTCTTTCCAAGACCCTTCCACAGAATATTCACATATCATCTCACACAAAGCATGTCTTTTCAATAACTCTTCTCTACAGAAAATTCATTCATCCTCTAACCCAAAACATGTCTTTTTACATGCCTTCTTTCACAAAGGTTCACATATCCTCTCACCAAACTCTCACCCAAAATATGTCTTTTTGCATGCCTTCTTGCACAAGGAATCACATATCCTCTCACCAAACCCATGCCCTTTTTCAATTTTTCAATGGCTCTTCCACAGATAACTCACATATCTTCCCACACAAACCATGCCTTCTTTCAAAGGCTCTTCCACAGATAACTCACATATCTTCCCACACAACCATGCCTTGTTTCAAAGACTCTTCCACAGATAACTCGCATATCTTCACATATCCTCTCACCCAGAACATGCCTTCTTTCACAAAGGTTCACATATCCTCTCATGCTCCGCAAATGTTCCAAATGTTGCGTTGCGCAACATTTCCCTGGACCAAAAAACCAAAAAACCAAAAAAAAACAAAGAATCCCAGCCATGGTGGGGGCTAGGATTGTTTTTTTTTGGTTTGTTGTTTTTGTTTTTTTGGTGTTTTGGTTTTTTTGGTCCACAAAATGGCCTTGCAGAAAATGCATGAGTTCAATCAAAATACACTGTAAATATCAATGGTTTTGATACATGATGCAACAACACCTGGGTACTGGGGGGGGGGGTACCATATATATATATATATATATACATACCTGGGCCCCCCAAAGACGGTTTTTTTCAGGCTTTCACGTTTTTTTCAGGCGAAGACCCAACACGCAACTCAATGACACATCTTTGGCGTTGTTTTGTGTGGTTGTCGCGTTGTTTTTTGCTGCTTTCGCGTCATGTTTTCAGGGGCGACGTGCGCTGCGTCAAATTTTCAGGGGAGACAAACAAAGCATCGTTGCAGGGTGCAGGTATATGTATATATATATATTATATACACATTCTTATATATTTATATCAAGTCCTTGAAGTCTGCCCAACGCAGGGCATTTTTGGAGACTTCCGGTGTTTCTCGACTTGCCGCCGCCAGGTTTTCCTCCCTTGCCCCGAGCGCTGGGCTGAAGTTGGCGCTCAACGCCCAGGCCTCCTGCCAGAACGCAATTTGGCTGTGGGTCAAACATGGGTGTCCTTTTTAGGTGCCCTCTGAAAGGGGCTTGACAGGGAAACCAAAAGGAATTCCATTGATTTGGGGGGCGGCACGTATTTAAAGGAACCCACATGGCTGTGGGTCAAAAAACCGGTACCAAGATGGAACACTGCCAACTGGAACCAAGCACTAAAACCTGCGGTCCATATCCTGGTTGCTTCATTTTGACCCATACACATGTCGCGCGATTTCGCGCGCGTTTCTTGGGGAGTGCTCTGTGCACGTGGAACAAGTAGAATGATGCTGACCCCCATATGGGTATTGATGCCACTATTCAGGCAAACAAAAAACAAGAACATTAAAAAAAGGATGGGCTCATATAACCATATTGTCATATGAACCCTGGTGAGAACGGAATTTCAGGGATTATTCCCTGACATATCCACTTGGCGGAGACCCCAGGTTTGAAAAATGTGGCAACACCAAAAAGGGGAGCTAATGTAGGAACCCCTCTGCGAACTGGTAGGCTGAATTCTGAAACACCAGCCACCAAAAAGGTCGTTCCCCCCAAAAATAATAATACTACTACTAATAATAAAACAACAACAAGAGACAAAACACGCAAACGCAAACAAAAACTGGTTTTATAAATCCTGGGTTCTCATGATCCTATGGCATCCTAGTTCTCAGCAGGGAATTGGAAACTGAATGATCCCCAAATATCCCCAATACAAAAAAAAACAACAACAGAAAACACGACTGCCACTCAGCCGGCCCCTTCAGCTTCGAACGGGACCGACCCCCGAAACTCGACTCGACTCGACTGGAACAGAAGTTGGGGCCAAGCCTTGCAGGCGGCCAGGCAAAGCTCCAACTCGCTCATGTTCACGGTCCCATCTGGGTACGCAAAAAAACAAAAAAAACACGCTCGTGACGCTCGTGGGCGGCAATGAAATGGCTGTGGGTCAAAAATTGGCAGCCCAAATGGAATCGATACATGGACCAAACCTGCGGTCCCCTGGTGGTTTAATTCTGACCCATACCCAAATAGGTGAACCTTCTTCGGGCTGGGGTCCGATTCGATGATTGCTCTTGGGCCTCCTCAAAGTGGGTTGGCTGTCTGTGAGGGTTCTTGAGGAATTGGTCGTTCTGGGCTCTCCATTGGAGGGGTCAAAGTCAAAACCATGTCAAGGTTGGGTCAAACCCAGCGTTGGGCCAGGCCTTGCTTCCCGAAGGCTACGGAGGGCTTTACACATGCCGCACTCTGGAAGACCCTGCCCCATAAACATGGTGCGCGGTCAAACCCATGCCATGGAAATTCAGTCGAAACCATTTCGGGTGAAAGATGCCATCAGCCCATGTCGATAAGGGTTGACAACTGACCACATGGAGCGGACATGTGCCAACTCTCAAAGACCATCCATACCAACGCTGCTGATTCCCGCTCCTGTGGCGCTCTCCGCGCAGTGAGAAGTGGGCAAGGCTGCGTGGCGAAGGTGGATTTTGATTCCCACCAAGAAACACGGGGCAGTGCAAAGGCATTCATTGTTTCGCAGAGAAGCAATCGAGCTCTAAAACAGGTCTGGTACACTGCAATGCACGTTGGCAACGTTCAATGTGTGGCAAGGCGCATGGCAAATACAGAAATAATATTTCCCGGCGTGTCCCTTCCCAGTGGACCAACCCTGACTTGAAGCATGGGCAATATTAATGTGGGTGCCTCTAGGCGCATTGACCATGGCCCCCTAACGTCGCCTCTGAAGGCGACGATGCCCATACTCATGTGAGGGACCCCCCCCCTTTGCTTTCGGACAGTTTCAAGGGGAAACAAGGGCAAATTTTATACAGTCTGGCCTGGGTGAAGAACAGTTCCGCCTGAAATAAGAAATGGGCTGCGGGAAAACAACCGAACAATGGAAGCTCCAGGCGCGTCTGGGTAGCAACATGGTCTTACTGGTATTCTCTCAAATAGAGGGAGCCCCGCAAAATGGGCTGTTTCCTGGTCTCGCAAGGAAGTCTATCATGTTGAACCCCCCCCATCCTGGGCTCCTGGCTGTAGAAAGTGAAAGTGGTTGTAGAGCTGGTGACACTGGTGCTCGAGGTGCTGCTGCTGGTGCTGCTCGTGCTGCTGCTACTGCTGCTGCTGGTGCTGGTGCTGGTGCTGCTACTGCTGCTGCTGGTGCTGCTGGAGCTTGTGCTAGTGCTGGTGCTGGTGCTACTGCTGGAACTTGTGGTGCTGGAGCTGGTGCTGGTTGAGCTGGTGCCTCAGAAAGATGCCCCGCATGAGTAGAAACCCCTGGGTGCCCCATATCCTCCAAGTCAAACAGCAACGGTGTCAGTTCATGGCTGACTCACCTGCTCAGTTTACGGGCCAACAAAAGCTTCGAACGGTTGTGCTTTCACTAAAAACACTAAAATGAAGAAGCCTGCCAGCAAACGAGTATGTTCAGCTTGCCCATTCAACAGGCCAGCAAGATGACCCCATCTTCCATTTGTGACCCACCCCCCAGGCGTATCCGAGACAAAAGAACGAACTCCAACTCACGCGCTCGAGAGCTTTCAGCCCTCAAGGCTCAGTGGGACCGGCGAAATGCTGCCAGTTGCACCCCGGTGATGTCGGGTGCTCAAAAAAACTAGAGCCAGACCGCTCGCAGTCTTGTCCATTTGCCAGAGTTCCATTTGCCCCTATGTTTGAGCCACACCTAGTCCATTTAGGTACAAACACCTGGGGCCCAGAATTCGAGCCCTCAAACAGCGGAGTACCCTAACATCATTTTGGAGGAGAGCGTAAGTCATCCTGAGTCCCTCATCCGAAAGCCCGAACGCTTTTCTGATCAAGGTTCCCAAATGGACATTTCGGAACTACATCGCGCCCCAAAAAACCCGACCAACCATAGGTGTCCTTTTAGGCGAAATAGGTGCGTTTCCCTGGTAGATGATGAAACCACCAGGCAAACCAGGAATCGCCATCTATTTTTCGAGCAAAAGAACCAACAAGGACACCTCTGGAAGACACCAAACCGCCCAGTGGCTGGAAGTCGTGGAGGTGTAGCTCGTCCTCGGTGCCCAGAGCAAACGGGGCCTCAACACCTTGGGTGCTGTGGATCCCCAAAGAGTTAAACTGTTTGCTGGTGAAAAGGAAATATGAGAGAAAAAACAAAATCCAAAAGCAGTAGAGAAACGGCATCCCGTTTTGTTCAGGACAAAAACGCGACCCCATGGAACTCCTGACTCACTAGAGGGTCCAATGATGCCTAGACGGGTGCGGGATTTGGCAACAAGATACGAATCCAAAAGCCTGAGAAGCCTCTCCGCCACGTGCTGTTCTGGTGCAGCTCGAAACACGTTTCGCCAGTCATGCTGGCTTCCCCTGTAAACCAACAGGGGGGGGGGAGGTTGTGTCTTTACACAAATCAACAAATTGTGGGCTCAATGACCTCCATGATGGGGCCTCCAGGATGGGGCCTCCATGATGGGGCCTCCATGATGGGGACTTCAGGAAAAAGTGGGCAACCCAAAAAGAAAGAGGGAAACGACCGGAATCCCTGGCATCCCTGGCCAAGATTCCACTGAAGGTTTCATGGTTTGAAGGTCCTGAAATTGGAACTGTAGCAATCTAAAATCCCTTGGCGACTGCCTGGGTGGTCCCCGACCGTCGACAGGTCGACTAGACCCAGTCTCCCCGGATCTGGGGCACCCCTGCGTGGAGGTAGCCTGGGAATGGGACGGCGAAGCGCGCACCGGTGACCATACCCCAAATGTTCCACGCTTCTCCGCAAAACTGACCGAGGACGTCCGAAACCAGGG